TGTAGGATTCAATCCGTGTTGGGACGAGACGCTGACTTTCCAGGTTCGGGTGCCAGAGCTGGCGCTGGTGCGATTCGTGGTGGAGGATTACGACACGACTTCCGCCAACGACTTTGTGGGGCAATTTACTCTGCCATTGCCCAGCCTGAAGGAAGGTGAGTGGCAGCCTCAGGAGAGCTCAGTTGCAGAAATGATTCTGGAATCATGTATATGCTAAATATTTTGAATAATTGTAATGCATACAATTGGCAGGTAGCAATGTGGAAGCATATATCGTGTTTTCCCCCTCTTTGTTTTTCCTCCTTCTTTTTCCCCTCTTAACTTTGTTCTGCTTGTTTTCTTTTCTATTTCTTTCATTTCCTCTTTGCATTTGCATTTTTTGTATTAGAAACATTTATATGAAGGCTTTGGTGGGGTGGGAAGACAGGAAGGGGGCAGTCGGGAGGGGGGGTCCTTGCCTGAAAGGCAGAATAGAAAGGGTCTCCCAGGGTGAGAGATTGGGAGGAGAAGTAAGTTTTCAGGTGCGAGACGGGAGGATCTACCTCTCTGAATGTGGATACAGTGGAACCTTGGTTCCTGAACAGCTTAGATGCCAAACAAATTGGCTCCCGAATGGCGCAAACCCGGTAGTAACTGTTCTGGTTTTTGAACGTTTTTCGGAAGCCGAACGTCCAGTGCGGCTTCTGATTGGCTACAGGAAGCTCCTGCAGCCAATCAGAAGCCCTGTCAGACGTTCGGGTTCCAAAAAACATTCGGAAACCAGAACACTCAATTCTGGGTTTGCAGTGTTCGGGAGCCAAAACGTCCATGTACCAAGGCGTTTGGGATCCAAGGTTCCACTGTATCAACATTTCGGAGAGGTAGACCCTCCCGTATATCATTTCCCAAAAGCCTTTAGCTTTGTTCCAGGTCCACCACCCTCTTCCTTTCTGACTGGATTTCCCTCCTCAGGCTACCGGCATATCCACCTGCTCTCCAAAGATGGGACTTCCCTGTCTCCAGCCACGCTGTTTGTGCACGTCAGATGCAGGAAGATGTGAAAGGCGTTGGATTGTCAAGAATCCAAGTCAAATCTGGCCTGCGGCGGAGGAGTGGCGCTGCTGATTCTGATAACCGGCCGCCTCTCACCCAGATGTGTGCATCTGGACCACACTGAGGAAGCAGCATGCCCCAGCCCCCCTGGTCTGGGCTGAATCGGGTGTGCAAGCAACCCTCGCTCAGAGAGCCCGACTCGCATTAGGGTTAGAAGACTGAACAAACCTTTGTGCTATTGAAGATAAACAGCCCAAGCGGTGTAGCAACTCCTAGAATCTCTCTCTTCCAGACAGGGTTTTAGATCGGGGAGAGGACCCCGTCCCATCCCCTTCCCCATTATGGTTTGGGAAGGGAACACAAGATGGGAATATCTTCCCTAAGTTTCTGACAGTCACACGGCTCTCGTGAGAAGTAGCGAGTGAAAGGATTCGTAGACCTATTTTGCGTAGCTCTTGTTAGAACGGGGGGTTTGAGAACGGAGGTAAGGAGGAGCAGAGGGTTGAGGGTTGTGAGCAATCCGCCGGTGGACGGATCCTGTTCGAGGCTTCTGGTACAGCCCTCTAGGCTGCAGAGGAATGTGAGCCACAGATTGAACCGAGCCTAGACTAGCCTGCCCGTGGTGATATGGGTTTGGAGAGGATCGGCCCAGCAAACTGCATTTGGTAGGAGGTTGGGTTGAGGCTGTAGGAAACTCTTATCTTTGCTTCTTTAGGAAAATAGGCGGCCGGTCCTCTTCAGTGGGCAGGCAGCTTGCGAAGCCAGTCTAGACTTTTGATACCCTGGCAACAAAATTCGGCTAGAAACGCTTAAGCTAGCCGATCGTCAGTCTAAATCACAAGCCACTGACTTCCGATTGTCCCAAAAGAGCAGGTCAGAACTCGTATTATACTAGGCTCTCAAAGTAGTACTGTATATATTGGTTCAAGCGTTAGCAAATTAATATTAGTGTGCCCAAAGAGTTCATGTACACGTCACACTATATTTTAAGAAGCACTTTTTCCTACTGGTTCTTTTGAAGATGGGATTACAATAAGATCCTGTCCTTCGGGTTAAAAAATGGCTTGCTACCTCCACAATAGCCTTTTCCCCTTGGTTAATTTGTAAAGGGCATATTAATACACCTAATCTTTCGGCGCTTTGGGTTGTTGCATCACATAGTTTAAAAGCAGGCATTATTAGCAAGTAAACTAGCCATTTTGCCAGACAATAGGTCATATTGGAGCTCTGCTCAACCTTGCCCCTTCCAGTCACTTAATATCAGAGCTTTTTGGCTCAATGCACAGGTTCTGCCCATTATTGACCACAGATTAACAGCCACGGATTTCCTAAAACGAGAAATCCCTACTTAGTAGAGGGAAAAGCCAGACAAATCGCATGCAGCCCATCACATTTGATGAGGATGAGGGAGTTTGCTTTATTTCCTTTGCAGACACAAGGGGAGTCACGGCTGTGTGCAACTTCCTACACCTAGGTGGGTGCAGTTAAGGCTCACGTTCAAAACAACTAGCTTGAAAAGCCTTCCTTTTTGGTAACGGTAAGGCAAGAGCGCTTGAAGAACAGTGACCGAGAGACTGGCAATACACGTTGTTAAGGGGAAGCGTGGCAAGTGACTTAGACCGCTTCAGAGAAAAATTGAGCTGCATCGCTGGCTAACACCACAGCCCCCGTTCTCAAGTTATACCTGCTAAGGCAAAAATGTGATACGCTGGCCTTGCCTTTTAAGCCCCCTGAAGCAGCTAATGATGCAGAAGGGAAAGTTGTAAAGCAATGGACATTATCAGACACTTTGGATTATGGGACGTTCTCAAAAGGAAGAGGAAACGACTGTTGACATGGGGCCATTTTCCCCAGTGACAGCCCAACACATTTCTTACTAAGGGGGGACGGGACAAGGGCAGTTTTCAAAAGGGAAACGAACCCTGCTATTAAATACATCTCCCAAGAAAAGTAGGTAGATGGTGGGAGTTCTGCCCAATACCTAGAGAGCACCATTTTGGCTACCTCTAGAATGGGGGTTTGGGGGATTGGGTTTCAAGCAAAGTAGATTTAAGTAAGGCAGAGCTATTAAACAAACAAACATCTTCCTAGAGATTGTTTTAAAGAAGCACTCAAGTGAGTTTTTGTAGAGTTGGGTTTAGATATTTTGATCTATGGGATCTGGTCTGAGCCCATCTCTAGAACATGGTAGACTGTATGACAATGCCCTGCATTAGACAAATTCTTCCCAGCTTTTCCCCCCCCCGGATCATAATTTCACTATGAACTAAACAGAGTTTACAAATCCAGACTTTGCAAACTCTGCAAGAAGCAGCACTGGTGTGATTTCACCTCTTGCCCATCTCTCTTCTTTGATATTATAAAGGAAGAAGCACCCAAGAACCAGTGTCACTTTCTAGAATTTGATTTTGAAAGCTTCTGTGTATCAAAAGAGACTGTTGTTTATAATGTATTGAATAGCTATAATAAAAATATTTTATTTTAACAAAATCCCAGTGTCACAGAAATTTCAAATTCCATGGAACAAATACGGCGTGTTTAAATGACAACAAAATAGAACTACAATCTTTGCCCTTAACAGAGACGTAACTGTGATGGGACTCAGGGCAGAGAATAATATCCGTATGGGAATCTGCATTTCAGAATGTGGAGTCTGGTTTTCAAAATCCACATTTCAACATTTACTTTTTAAGTTCTGAGCGAGGAATTGGTTTCCTGGGTAGATGTTGCATTCCGAAGCAGGCATGCACTGTTTTCAATGCACAATTTCAGACCTTAAAAGTAGTGTTTGCAAGTAGTGTCTAAGCTTGAGTTCCTATTCTTAAAATCTGGAACTTCCTGAGATGTACAGGACTGCAATACTCTGTGGCCTTTCCCATTTATAAAGTGATGGTAGTGGTGTGGTTCTCTCCCCTCTACCAATATTCATGTGTTGTTCAAAAATCCCTTTCTGCCAATGACAACCACGTCACAATGATGTGCCAAGGAAGATCTATAGCTGCGTCATTTATTTTTTGGTGGAAAATTGAAAGCAAACTTTACTCCAATAGCTGAAAATGTTAACTTTTAGAGTATGTAAGGAATGATGATGCTTTATTCTTCAGTGTACCACAAGAGCGGTCTTCAACAACAAGGGTTGTTCGATTTAGGAATATTGGGTGGAATCAACATTTCCCAGGAGAGGGAAATATTCTGTATCCCAAACAAACGTGGCATTTCTCTGTGTTGCCTTCTCTCGTGGCAAAACCACCTTTTCCCTCCTCCTCCTTCCTGCCGCTGTGCCATCGACTCTTAGGCAGCAAGTTGAGACAAGAAGTTCTACAAGTCATGCTTCAGGACAATCGCCACCACTCCCAACTATCCATCAAATTTTTAAAAAGCAAGGCAGGACACAAGGAGAATGCAAAAGGATCTAAACAAAGGATGGAGAAAGGCAGCCGAAAGCAGCTCCTCCAACAGGTTTGTGTTTTTTAATCTCCTCCTCTGTAATGTTTTGATTGGCTAAACATTGGTTGGCCCTACTATAGACTTTCGGATTGTTCTTTATTGATCCCCTCCAGCAGGAAGCTCTCTGAAGACAGAGCTCTTTTGCTGGTAGAACTCAACATATAGCCAGACCCTTAAAAAGCATTTCCGTTGAGAACAGAGTAATAGGCTCTGCATCCACAGTAAGGGACATGCGAGGGAGATATGTCCTGAACTGCTGAGCCATCCCCCACTAGCACACAGGAGACGTGAGGTTGGGAAGTGTGTTCTCCTGCCTCTTTGGAATGGAAAACCTGACTTTCAGCAGGACTTTTTAAAAAGCCACTGTCGCACTCACAGCCCCCACCCCACAAGGCATGACTATATTCATGTGGTTCCCATCTTAATGACTCACACTCTCAAAAGCCATTGAAGTAGGATACCGCTGTCAGATCTTCGGCCCAAAGTTAGCCGATACTCCCCACCAATAAGCACACAAGGGGTGAAAAGGAATATTACACATTTATCACATTTGAAGAATGCTATACAGAGACTGCAATATATAGAGAAATGCACAAGCCCAGGCTAGATGTCTGCGTCCTCATCACAGCACACCTGAAAAGCGTATCCAAAATGAAAATGGATGCAAAACCCAGGGCAAAATGCTAGAAGAGGGCCCATTAAAGTCTATACAGGATCTAGAGCTAGGAACATGTCTGCGAAGCAAACGGGAATTAGCCAGGGAAACTCCAGTGTTCTTTCAATGCCAGAGGCATGTCCTGTCGAAGGAGCTGCTGCCTTCAGGCTTATAGTTCTCGCAAAGTTTTCAAAGCATTGGAAATCCAAGGGGTGTTTTCTCAAACCCCTCTCGGGTGGAAATGAAGGTATTCCTTCTGAATAAAGCAGCAATACACTTGACCGTGGAAAGACGGAAAGGCAACTTGGACAAAGCAAGCACAGATCACAGGAGAGATCCTTTTCGTAATGTTCTACTGAACCTCCAAGGGCGACGTAGCAAGCTCTGAGTCAACCGCACAAGCAGGAGGTTAAAAGCTGCAGGCGTTGCCAGCCTACGACACAAGAATTGCACAACCGCTGGTTTCTAGCTTAAGGGAGATTTCCTCTTCCTCCTAACGTGTTTTGAAACCGTTACGTCTTTATGAATCAGTCTTCACGAAGGAGGGTCGGTTTCCAAATACAATGCTTGGGTAGAAAGCCATGGGCAAAGTAAGGAATGAGATATACATCTTTTGCAACAGATATAGCACTTTGAGGTGCTGCCAAGTTATCTAGATAATGCTGTCCTTTTCTGCCCGGCAGTGGAAGGAACCGCACTTGGGAGCCCAGTTTTCACTCAGGTGGTAAATGTGTCTGGATTGTACCATTTAAGAGAACAGGTAGTCTCAACACAGAAATGGATGCTTCACCATACAAAGCAGGTGAGGAAGATTGGTTGCAGTCCAGCCTTCTCCCTTATGTATACTAGTTTTCTATATGGAGATTCAGTCTGATGGGATATGGCCTAGATTAGGGGAGGTGAACCTGTGGTGTCCCCAGTTCATGTTGGACTCCCAACCTGCATCAGCCCCTGGCAGCATGGTAAGTGGTTAGGGATGGTGGGAGTTGCAGTCAACAGCTGGAAGGCCACAGATTCCACATCCCAAGGATGTAGACAAAGGTTTTCCCAGCCTAAACTACAGGTTTTGTTGTTAACATTTAAAACCCTAAACAACACAGGACCAGGATAGCTAGCAGAGCATCTCCTTCAATGAAAACCAAACTGACCTGCGAGATATTCCAAGGAGAACCCTTGCTAGCAATGGGGAAGCTGGCCATCCTCTGCAATGCCCTCCTTCTGGAAATCTGTGAGGCAGGGACCATGACGACTTCTAAAATGCCTCTTAAAAACTCAAGTTTTCCTAAGCCTGTCCAAACTCTTGACCCTTTTCCCTTGTGTACACTGCTTATTTTTATTTGGGATACAGTTGCATTTTTTAGCCAGTTCTTAGCAAATTTCATTGAATTGTGTTGTATTTTTTAATGTGAATTTCTTATAATAAATGGTATATTTTTTAAAAAACAACATAAAAGCCACTGACTTGGCTATGATAAGAGGTACACCCTTCCTAGGATCTCAGCTCAAACCTTGAAGTAGAGTGGCTGTCTCTCACCACAAACACCACTGATGGGTTTTCACAGATCCAAGTGACACCTCTTTAATTCATGGGAGGCCAATTCCTCCCTCCTGCTCTTCTTCACGGTCTCAGCTTCTTTTCAGCCATCCTTGTTTTCCAGATGACTTCCAACGCCTTGCAGATATGGAGAAGACCTTTTGAAAAGCCCATTTTCCTGGTGGTGTTTCCCACCGTAGCAAAATTTGGTAGAGCCCTCTGTAAGACAAGGCCCATCCATCTTGTTCACTGCACAGATAGAAAATCTGCTGATTTTGGAAGACGGGCAGCAAGGGTGGGTGTAGAAAGACATTATCTCCTTAGTGTTGGGTCACATTGTCCCTGGGAAACTGGAAAGCCTCTTCCTTGAAAGAGGTCACTGAGTAGAAGCCCTCGAATGAAGGCCTGATCTTCCCAACTTTAGGAAGTAAAATAACCTTGCTGTAACAGATACACCAGCAACATAATATGGTCTGTCTCCCGTTGCAAGTATTCACTGGCAAAGTTACAGATAGCCATTCCCATGGTAGCTTGAATGAAATTCTCATGGGTTTATGCGGACAGGCAACAGGCACAACTGCCAGGAAAGTTTCTCATAATATCAGCAGATTCTCACAGAAGGGAGCACAAAAATGTTCTTTTCAGGCCTGGGCAGTACAAGCGGACTGTTAGTTGACTTAAGCAGAAGGGAGACGCTGCAGCTCAGGAAAGGTCGAAAAACGGGCAGTGCGTTCGATTCTGTTGTAGGAAAACACAGATGGGGCGGAGCTGTAGTTCCAAGACATCGCAAGCCCCAAATAACTCCCATCTCTTGGAGGGGGAAAATGAAGAACTGCTCCCATAAAGCAAGGCATGGCCAACATGGATTTTAAGAGCCAAAAGGCACAGGCTGTTAACAGTTTGGAGAGTCAAGTGTTGCAGCGACAAACCTTAGCGCAAGTCCAGGACAGGAGAGATGGGACAGCTACATACATCATCCCACAAGAGTTCAGTTCTGCGACAGCTCTGCAAGTCACTAAATTAGCCCTTTATTTCTTTCCAAAAGAAAAGCTGAATAGGAGTATTAAGCACGTTAGCCCTTTGCTGCATGCACAAGGCAGAAAATTGGCTTTAAAAAAACAACCCCCAACATCATTAACTAGCACCAGCCTTGGGCAACCACACCAGAGAAAACTCACACTGAAGCTCAATTGTGCTTTAGATGTCACAGAGAAAAACTGGATATAGCTGGGTGTTGGGATGCACCACACAACACTAATTTTGCTGGTGATGGTTGGGGCAATCTGGGCCATTTTCAACGCTATTTCTACAACAGAAAGCTAAGCAACCCCGTGGTTCCAGTCCCAGTTCCGCTGAACAGCAAACATGGTTAAAGTATAGAATATATAATATATTTTTTTATTATTATTCACCCGTTAACTCCAATATATGCCAATTGTGAGCTAGTTTTTCAGCAGTTACATTCCCTTGATCGTGGTTGTACGGGGTGGGGAGGGGGGGGGAGAGGAGGCCAAGTGCTGATGCTAACGTGTCGGCGCACTCCGAGGCGCATGGTACAATCATCAGAAGTGTCAGTGGACGGTCCGCATGGCCAGTGTAGGGGGGCGCCAGCTCCTCCGCGGGAGGGTTGCACTTCCATAGACATCTGAACGGCAACGGCCAGCAGTTCCACTCTAGCCCGTCTTCAGCGGCTTTGCCAGCACTTCTCCAGAGATTACTGGTTACTGCAGCACCAAGCCAACCTACGGAAATAACCGGCATAAAGGGGAAGGGTTAGGAAAGGCTGAGAACTTTTGTTTCTTTGTGGATGGGTGCAAGCTGTCCAGTTGCACAAAAGAGGCCTTGTGCCCCAACAGTTGCAGTGGCAAGGACCAAGAAGCGCATAGATGCATCTGTATACTGCAATGCGTTATACGCAGGGCTGCCTCTGAAGACGGTTCAGGAACGTCAGCTAGTGCAGAATTCAGCGGCCAGGTTGCTCACTGGAACAAGTGGTTTGAGCGTATTACACCGATCCTGGCTCGGCTGCACTGGCTATCAAATTCAAAGTGCTGGTTTTGACCTATAAAGCCTTAAACGGCCCCGGACTGCAATACCTCAAGGACCGCCTCTTCCCATATGAACCTACCCTGACCCTGAGATCATCTTCTGAGGCCCTTCTTTGTGTGCCTCCTCCCTGAGAAGTCCGGAGGGGGGCAACACGAGAACGGGGCCTTCTCTGCAGTGGCTCCCATCTGTGGAATGCTCTCCCCAGGGAAGTTCACCTGGTGCCTTCACTATACACCCTTAGGCGCCAGGCAAAAACGTTTATTTTAAACCAGGTCTTTGGTTGATCCAATTTACATCCTATGCCCTTTTAAAATGTGTGTGTGTGTGTGTGTGTTGGGGGCGGGGTGGGGGAGACTATTGGGTTGTTGTTTTTATTTTTATTAGGTATTTTGTGGTTTTATATCTTGATTTTATTCTGTGAACCGCCCTGAGACCCCTGGGCATAGGGCGGTATATAAATTCAATGAAGAAGAAGAAGGAGGAGGAGGAGGAGGAGGAGGAGGAGGAGGAGGAGGAGGAGGAGGAGGAGAAGGAAAAGAAGATACAGAGTCTCGGTTCAATTCCATCTATAAATTGGATGGTTTAAATTTTATCTACCAGGTTGCAGCATGAGGATACATTGGAAATGTGCAGTTTCTTTACCCTTGCTAGAATTGCCCCTACAAGCTGAATGACTGTGCACACTCAAGATTCTTTTAGAATCGTAGAGGATTGCAGCTAAATTTCAAGCCCTTGAGATAGTGGTGATGAATTTGAAAGAAGCGCAAAGCTGAAGGGGCTCTGAGACATTACCAGGGCCAACTCTTCCATGTGCCAAATAAAAGACTTCTGCAAATTCAGCATCTCTCTGTCCACTTCTATAAAACTTCCAAGGGCTAGTTCTGCATGTTTTGGAACCTTTGCATCTGAAGTTTTATTGGAAGATGGGACAGAAACTGAGAGTTGGAACTCCTGGGACAGGAGCAACAGAAAACATTTTGAGAGACAGCAAGGGGCTGGGTATTTGAGCCAGTGACTTTGTGGGAGTCATTAAGGCTCATGGTATCAGATTAGGACATAGAGGATGCAGCCTAGTCCACGAGCCTCGCAGCATGGCCTTGGGCAAGCCACAATCTGTTGTCTTCTTCTTCTTCTTCTTCTTATTATTATTATTGCTGTTGTTGTTATTAATAATATTATTAATTAAATTTCTGTACTGCCTTTCATCTGAGGATGACAGGGCACTTTACAATACTATTACTACTAGTAGTAGTTGTAGTAATTATTATGCATCAGTGTAACATTTTTATATGTAACTGGGTATTTTTGTAATATTTGAAGTTGGCTCTTGTTGCTTCAGTTTTCTGTATACCACTTATCAAGATTTATACTCTATAGAAATTAATTAATTAAAATCAAATAATCGACCAACTACTTGAAACCTCATCCCGGGTCAAATCTGTTCCTGAAGTATCTAAGCAGAAAGCTCTTTCAGCTCCTGAAGTACAAGAACTTGGGAATTGTCTGTTTGGTCTTTGACCAAAAAACAGCAAGTGCCACGTTCTCCACCAGCGAACCATCGGCCATAAATCTAATCCAAACCACGGTTTAGCAGACAGATGGGTTCCTGAACCAAAGATCGTAGTTGCAGTGGTTCTCCCTTGGGTCCCTCTGCTGCTTCCGTTATCCAGGGCTAAGTCATGATTTGTTATTATCCAAACTAGGACATGTGGTGTGCCTTTTCCACATAAACCCCAAGCGGAAAAGCAAGAACAACTTGTGTTTTGTCCGGAGCGAGAAAAACCACAAGGCCAGGTTTGGGCCATGTTGCTAAGGTCAACCATGGCTTTGCCCTGGGTAGCCCAGGATGAAAAGAGGAGCACTGCAGCTGTGATCTTTGGTCTGGTTGTTCACACTAAGCCCTTAGCATTACATGCAAACCTGGTCATTCAATGCTTCACGACTCAACTTTGGAAGATGTGGAGTCGCCCTTCTTTCAGGTCATTTGCCTATTCAGAGACAGGCCTTCCCAAGACACTCTATAGCAGGGATGTCCAACAGGTCGATCGGGATCGACTAGTAGATCCCCGGGAGCTTCTGGTTAGTCACGGTCGATCACTGGACTGGCTCCTTTTCCTTATCTTTGGTCTAAGAGCACCCGGCCTGGCCCCTTTTCCCTATCCTCCATTCACGCATGATTGCTGGAGTTTTCGCAGATTGTTTCCTTTGCGATTTTTAGGTGTGTCCCCCCCCCCCATTCCCCTTTACTAAAATTTGTTCCTTTTCTCTCCAAAAACGGGAGTGTCAACAACTTTGACCTGAACTCCAAAATAACGGCACTCTCCTCCCTAAACAAAGTCATCAACTTAGACCAGAACCCCTAAAAAATAGCACTCTCCTTCCTAAAAAAAAGGGGCAACAAATATGACCTCAACTCCCCCAACCGGGGTAGATCACTGCCTTTTTTTCTGAGAGTAATCGCAGTCTCTTAGGAGTTGGACGTCCCTGCTCTACAGCAATGGTCACCTACCTTCTCTGGCCCCATGCTGGGGCATTTCCAATTGTAGAGATAATACTGCAGATTTCCATCTCCAATCCCGAATTTCAGCTTCTCCAGGAAGGTCTTGTTCTCCATGAGATCCAGTGCATTGAAAACATCGAAGCCCCTCTGCACAAAGAGGTATGGCAGGGAGAGACATTGGGCTTATTTGTATGCTTTGTAATTCCTTAGCATCCAGAAAAAAAAATAGGCCAGTTTTTCCCACTCAAGTGCCACAAGAGCGAGAACGTTGCTTTTAAAAAAAACCCGTAACTCAGATATTCAGGACTATCAATTCTGTACTGCTCCTCAGGTCTCCTTAACATATATATATTGGGCTCTGATAAACAAGATTGTTTTTAGCATGTTTCCCCGAATGTTACATTAAGGAAATAACATAACCTAAAGAGCACAGCTTACCATCTTGGCCAATATAAGGGCATCGTTCATGAGGTCGAGAAGTGGTGTCTTGGTGTGGACATTGTAGAATGAATAGGCCGCCTTCAAGCTCTTGTGGGTTGGGTGATTCATAATAGTGGAGGGCAGGGTGTAGAAACTCAGGAAGTCGGTCACCTCCCCATCCGTGTTCTGCAGTAAACAGTGAGATACATTTTAGAATTAAATCCCCCAGACTCTGTCAGTCTTCAGCTGTGGGGGAAGCAAGTTGGCTTCATCTGCCATCGAGCCTGCCCTCTCCAACTTAGCGGGACAAGAAGATCTGATTCCTCCCTTCTCTCCAATTACCGTATTTTTCGCTCCCTAAGACGCACCTGACCATAAGGCGCACCTAGTTTTTAGAGGAGGAAAACAAGAAAAAAAATATTCTGCACAGAGCGTGTTAGCTGCTCTCGCTTTTCTTGTTTTAAAGAAAGCAAAGGGAGAGCCGCTTCCATGGCTTCTGTCCCGCTTTGTGCAGCTCTCACTTCGCTTACCCATCCCTCCTCCCGCCTCACTATAAAGCCAGCAAGAACCGCTGACACGCTCTGCACGGCTCTTACTTTAAAGTAAGGAAAGCAAGAGCTGCGCAGAGCGTGTCAGCGGCTCTTGCTCTGCTGGCTTTACAGCGAGCGACGGACGGGAGCCATTGCTCCGGCTGCAGAGGCATCCCTCAGCTCGCAACTGCAGCGGCAGCCGAGGGATCCCTCTGCCGTCCAGTGCATTCGCTCCATAAGACGCAGAGACAGTTCCCCGTATTTTTAAGGAGCAAAAAGAGTGTCTTATGGAGTGAAAAATATGGTACAATATTATTCTGGTATAGAAAAGAAACAAAATGGATTGGGAATTAAGATGGCAATGACTCTTAATGGACAGAACTTCGGACTGTGGGTGGGGGAAAGCCATGCAGAAACCTCGCACAGCAAGGAATGGACTGAGCTAGAACCTCTCCACTGATGTGGGAATACTTGCTGCTTTTGAATTTACAGCAGCGGTCCCAAACCGGTGGCCCATAAGCTTCATTCAGGGGGCCTGCATCATGCCTGTGGATTTGTGGCTGAAGACAGTGCGTGAAATATTAGTGCTGGTTTTTAATTGTATTTTCATTGCTTCTTTTGTTTCTTACATTGCAATTTACTGTACATTATAATTTGAATTCTGTGGAGTTCAAACTGTAATACAGGCACACCCCCATTTGCACAGGCATTGCACATTTAAGTGAAATTGCGTGTATTGGAACACCATTGAAAAAGCCGGCAAACACCATGTTCTGCCCCTGCCCTGCCCCTTCTCGTGACATTTTTGGGTCACTTCTAGGTTTGGTAAATACATATGTGTGTGCGGTCTCACACATACTGAACACGTGTAAATGGGGGGGGGGTGTTGCCTATACAATCAAATACGTAAGACATAAAGAAAGCAATAAAAATACAATTAAAAATCACGCAGCATCTAGCACATTGCAATTGCTGCAACAGGAAGAAAAATCATTAACTGCCCCTCAGCAATTTTCAAGTTGTCTATGGGAAAATAAGTTTGGGAGCCAGTGATTTACAAAGATATTCTTCTATGTGGGGGAGGCATTAAAATTGGCATTCCCTCCCACCAGCAGTCTACAAGAGCAAAATCCATTCTAACACCTTCTTCAGCTTGAATGCGTGAAAAATCTTGTTAAATTTGACTATAAGTACAGCAATGCCCTTCATATATTCACTTCACACAGATGTTCAGGGCTGTTTTTATCCCAAAGGAGTATGGCTTTTTCTATACTTAAAAACATGTACAGTGGTACCTTGGAAGTTGAACAGAATCCGTTCTGGAAGTCCATTCAACTTCCAAAACCAAGGCGCGGCTTCCGATTGGCTGCAGAAAGCTCCTGCAGCCAATTGGAAGCTGCGGAAGCCACAACAGACGTTCAGGTTCCAAAGAACGTTCGCAAACTGGAACAACCACTTCCGGGTTTGCGATGTTCGGGAGCCAAAACGTTCAACTGGCAAGGCATTTGACTTCCAAGGTACGAATGTACGATCTTGATTCTGTCTGTGGGGTAAGGTCATAAGATGTAACACCAATTAATTATTATTATTATTATTATTATTATTATTATGCATCTGTCCACCTGCATGCAATTTGCCCTACTTCATATTCAGCAGGACAGGGGAGACAGACTCTGCAGAACTCCCAAACCCCTTTTCCCTGCCCTCTGCTCACTGGCTGTGAAGTGACAGGGGGAAAAGCGCTCCTCACCTCAACTACAAATGTGTCTATGATGTTGGGCTGGGGTAGAAACCAGTGATCCACCTCCTCCTCATTCATGACAGGGGTCAAGTTGAAGAGCTTCAGATACTCAGCCAGAAGTTTGTGCACAGCAGGGATGTCTCTCTGCTCCATCGGCCGCAGCCCTGGGGTCTTTGGAGTCTGGGGGAAGAGTCAGAGGAAAAGGGTTTGCTTGGAAAGGCATTTGGGGATCCTGGCTGACAGTGAAGGAAGGGCTTCACAGCTAGGCTGGCGGTTTGCAGACTGTACCCTCAGGACCGCTGGAGGATGGGCTGTGGCTCAGTGACAAGGGTGGTTTTCAACGAAGTTTTACTGCAAGGACAACCACTGAAATGAATGGACCTAACTTGAGTCGTGCTCATTAATTTTGAGGGGTCTACGCTGATGGAAGCTTAGCTGAATACCGCCAAGATGCCCAGTGTTCAATCTCTAGGGAAGGGAGAAAGTTTGAACCCCGATAAACTAGATCCACAGGTGCCCTTTACTACCACGTCCTTCTCCAACAGTTTCTAAGCAATTTGATCTAAAAATTGTTCAGGGTTGTTGTTTCGCTTTCCTTCTGCAATGAGGTGTTGTTGGGCACCTTCACTCCAAGTTGAGCCCAGCAGAGAAATCTTATCAGAGACTGCACAGCCCTGTTCTCTGGCTCCTCCTGTGGCAGCTGTGCAATGCAGCGCCTGTGCTGCGCAGCTTCTGTGCCAAGAAAACCTATGCGCAGGGTCCCCAAAGCTACGTAGATGAACCTTCTGCATGCACATTCCTGTGGCTGGAGACTGCAGTCCTGGCCAGTGAAAGCACTTTTGTGTTGGCCCTGGGGTGGCTCAGACGGAAAGGAATATTATATTGAGCTAATCGTATTGCCCAGGCACAGATGGGAAGTGGCTAGATAAGGACAATTTTGGAGGGTGTATGCATGAGATCCAGAGAATTAGGAAGCAGCCACATAAGGCTTTCTTGGGGGATCAAGTGCAATTAAGGGCATGGGGGAGGGGGACTCCTCTAGACACACTTACCAGATCAGATTCTGTGCCAGTTTGCTGCCCACTGGCAGGGAGAAGTAACGGGCACTATGACAACCCAAAATGTGGTGCTAGTGCAGAGTTGCCCAGAGTCACACTGGAACTTCTTTGTCTGGAAATCACTGTTGCAATTGTGGTATGATGGGTAATCTCAAAAGATGTGCCTCAACTATTTAAGGTGGTTCACATGGCACGGTTGCCACCCAGCGACTGTTACCAAGCAGTGCTCAATCACCTGTGTGCCAGGGCCACTCGCAAATTGAAGAATTTCCCTCTATCACATCTCAGTTTTTTTTAAAAAAGGGGGGAGGGACCAGTAGCAAAAATCACCCAATCAGCACAGGGAACAGCCGTGAACTTGGGAGATGGCCGCTTGCCCAGCAACTCCACACGGCAGCCGCAAACACCAGCACAGAGCTGAGCTCAACTTACAGAGACCTGATGCTCTCCCAATTAAAAAAGGTGAATCCTCTTTACGTCCCGACTTCAAGCAAATACACTTTGACACAACAAACGACATTTGATCGACTCTGGAATCAGAATTATTTACAGCCAGAGAATCAGGAAAGGGTCAAAGGCTGTCTAAATACCCGTCCAAGGGTAGGGCCACCCATCTTCTAGCTCCTTACCAGGCAACCTAAATATAATTCACATTATAGTGGGGGCATGAGGAGAGAAAGCAGGTGCATCTGGAGCCAGTGTCTCAAGCAAACAAGACATATACTCCAAGCGAGGGGAAAGGGAAGCACCCCCAATCTGCGTTAGTAGCCAACCTGATGCTGGGGGAAATTCCTAAAAAAATGTTGGTGGGGGATAATCGCTGTATCACCCACCATCTTGGCTCTTGATCTGCATTTCCAACATTTTTGGTGGCTGATGCTAGTTTTTCTCCTGAATTAAAAAAGGGGAGTTCACCCTTATACTCTACAAAGAAGCCTTTTCTTTGGTTTTTTTCCTTGTGTTGTTTTTCAGAAAGCACCTTTTTATTATTATCTTGTTAAAGGAATATATATATATGTTACACTACAGCAGTGTTTCCCAACCTTTTTTGGGGCAAAGGCACACTTGTTTCATGAAAAAAATCTCGAGGCACACCACCATTACAGCCCCGTGACGTCAGCGCGCAGCGTCACGCCGGGAGGGACGCACGAAAGTGTAAGTTTCAATTTTTCCCCTCCCCCTTGCCTTCCTTCTGTGCCAACCGCCAAAAAGCCAAGAAAAAGGCCAAGACTTTAGGGCAGCAGGTCGACACGGAAGAAGCTCCTACCTAAGGACAGGTGCGACGGCCGTGTCCTCTTCTGCCACACTTGGCAGCCCTGCCTCACGGTCGTGACTCCCACCCTGATTTCTCCCCGCAGGTCGAGCGGCACAGGCAGCCCAATGTGTCCAGCCCAGACACAAGCCCCGCTTCCCCACTCTAGATCCTGAATGCGACCAAGTGCTCTGGACTCCCGAGCAGGGTGGGAAAGAGGACTCGCATCTGGTAGCCTCCGGGCTCCTCGCCTGCTCGAGGGATGGCATTGCAGGCAAGCTGCCGGCCGTCGCCATCGCCGCCCCCTCATGCGAGTGGACCTGCCCGGAGTGGTGGGCCGGGGGAGGCTCGCTCTCTGTGGGGATGTGGCCCGCACGCGCGGCCCCGCTTCCTCCTGCCCAGGGCTGAGCTCCTTACCCGCGATCTCGGTCTCGCGCATGCGGATCCCACTTATTCTGAAGCTCGCACCACTAGCCGGGGCTCTCACACCGTGCCAGGGCGAGGCGGCGCGGCCCACTGACGTCATCGCGGCTCGCCGCCGCCCTCAACTTCCCTGTTCCCTCCCCTCCCTCAGGTCGCCGTGGTTACCGAGGACTGCAAGCTGCTCGGGCGAGCGTGGGGCATTAAGTGGGAGAAGGAAAATTAAAATTAAAACTCGCCTGAAGGTCGCCTCTCCGGATACAGTGGTGCCTCGCAAGACGAAATTAATTCGTTCCGCAAGTCTCTTCGTCTTGCGAGTTTTTCGTCTTGCGATGCACGGTTTCCCATAGGAATGCATTGAAAATCAATTAATGCGTTCCTAGGGAAACCGCCTTCAGACCAGGTGCGGGGACAGTCTGTCCCCCGACCTCTTCTGAAGGCTGGGGGCGGGGGACAAGGGCTTTTCTTCTCACCCCCGCGCATTTTAAAAAACCCCGGGACAGCGGAGGACTTCTCCGCTGTCCGGGGCAATCTTAAAATGCTGGCGGGCGGCATTTTAAAATCGCCCGGGACAGCGGAGGACTTCTCCGCTGTCCGGGGCGATTTAAAAGCCCCTGGGAAGGCAGGCAGGGGGGACAAAGATTTTCGCCCCCCGCCCGCCTTCAGAAGAGGTCCTGGACCTCTTCTGAAGGTGGGCGGGGGCGAAAGCCTTTGCTCCCCCCTGCCTGCCTTCCCGGGAGAGCGGAGAAAGGCAGCGCGTTTCTCCGCTGTCCCGGATGGCTTTTGAAGGTCCTTGACCTCTTCTGAAGGCGGGCGGGGGCGAAAGCCTTTGCTCCCCCCTGCCTGCCTTCCCGGGAGAGCGGAGAAAGGCAGCGCGTTTCTCTGCTGTCCCGGACGGCTTTTGAAGGCAGGCTTTTGAAAGCCGTCCGGGACAGCGGAGAAACGCAGCGCGCCCTTGCCGCTGCCCCCCGACTTGGCTGGAAGGCTGGCGGGGGGAGAAGCCTGCTCCTCCCCATCGCCAGCCCCGCAAACTCGGGGGACAACGGGAGAGGCGCAGCGCGCCATCCCGCTGTCTCCCGACATGGTTTGGAGGCTGGCGGAGGGCTTCCTCCTCCCCCAGCCCCGCAAGCTCCCAGAGCGATGCCAAAGCTGCGCGCAGCTTCGGCATGGCTCTGGGTCCCGTTCTGGGGGAGGGGGAAGCTCGGGCTTCCCCCGCCCCAGCCCCACGCCTGGCGGTGGGGGAATAATTTTTTTCCCCCTTTATTCCCCCCCCCCCGCCAATTTTTCCCGCGGCACACCAGGCAACGTCTGGCGGCACACTAGTGTGCCGCGGAACACCGGTTGGGAAACACTGCACTACAGCACAGCAAAAGGATCATATGGATGAATATTGTCTGGAATTTTGCCATTCTAGAATATAAACGGCCTAAACGGCCTCAGTCCTATATACCTGAAGGAGTGTCTCCACCCCTAACATCCAGCCCAGACACTGAAGTCCAGCACCAAGGGCCTCCTGGCGGTTCCCTCACTGTGAGAAGCCAAGTTACAGGGAACCAGGCAGAGGGCCTTCTCGGTAGTGGCGCCTGCCCTGTGGAATGCCCTCCCAGCAGATGTCAAGGCAATAAACAACTATTTTACTTTTAAAAGACAACTGAAAGCTGCCCTGTTTAGGGAAGTTTTTAATGTCTGACGCTGTAGTTTTTAATATTCGGTTGGAAGCTGCCCAGAGTGGCCGGGGAAACCCAGCCAGATGAGCGGGGTATGTATAAATAAATAAATAAATAAATAAATATTAATGACCAATGTTCTTTTTAAAAAAATCCATTTGTCTATTCATTACTTGCCCTTCTGTGGTTTGTCAAATGCGTCAACATTCCATCCCCCCCCCACTATTCTGAAATTAAGGGTGCCATCCTCCATGTGCAAGCTTTAGCTTTAGGGTATAAGAGAGAACTCCCCACACAGGAGAGGTTGCCTCCTCTGTGAATCATGCTTCTGCAGTGTGTGCCTTTAGATTTCGAAGGAAACAAGCACTGCCTTCTCTGGAGACCAAATAAGCAAACCTTCTGTGGTCCCCGCGCTACAAGAGGGACTGAATGCTCCAATCACATTCTGATGCAGAGATGTTGCGGAATTATCCAGCCAAGGAAGAGAATGATTAGGAGGAGGCAAGGCCAAGACAACACCTTGCGCAGAGATGCATTTAGCAATCTTCTCTGCAGATGGATGAGCTGGGCTCAGAGGAGCCTGTAATTATTTCTTTGCGGCTTGTGAACAGTTCTCTCGCGGGACTCCGGTGTGCCCTTGGCAAGGTTTGGGATTGCTGCTCTACATGCAGAATAATCTCTGGTGATATGGAGGAAAGAGAACGGGACGGGGGAGAACCTAAGAAAAACTAATGCTGAGATGCGATCGGGGTGAGAAGGAAATCTTTCCTGACCTCAAGGGGTACAGCTCAGGCTTCAGCTCACAAGGTACTTCTCATTTAAATGCAATCTGGTTTGGGCCCAGAGTGTACAGTCATACCTTGGTTCTCAAACGCCTTGGTACTTGTACGTTTTGGCTCCCGAAAGCCGCAAATCCGGAAGTGTTCCAGTTTGCAAACATTTTTCGGAAGCTGAACGTCTGACGCGGCTTCCGCTTGCCTGCAGGAAGCTCCTGCAGCCGATCGGAAGCCGTGCCTTGGTTTTCGAACGGTTTCAGGAGTCGAACGGACTCCTGGAATGGATTAAGCTTGAGAACCAAGGTACGACTGTACATGGAACTTGTGGGGCGTGGGGAAATAGTGCGGAAAGGTCGGGGTCCCCGCATGCTCTGAAACTCCTCGCCTCGCTCGCGTGAGGAAAAGTGTGGCAAATATACAATCTCAGCTTGAAAGATTCTTACACAAAGGCCCCACTGAGGTTACTGCCCTGCCCATCACAGACCTCCGGAAGCCGATAGAGCTTCATGGTGCGTTGCATAGTCATGTTCCTGCTCAGGTGGGAAAACTTCACTTCAATCAGCTTGCGCGGATTCAGGGACCGGTGCCAGTACCTGCCGGAAAGAGGAGCCTTCCTGGTTAGACATCCCACTCGGATCCCATTGTTCCTCCACGGAAGCCTTAGTAACTTGAAGCCTAACTCAGTATCACCTAAAAGTGGAGGTACGTTTTACTCCTAGGCGCAGAAAGGTACACACACACAATCAATCAACCAACCAACCAACCAACCAATCATCTTGCCAGAACAATGGCTGAAACTCTTCTTGCAGGAAAGCCCTATTATTTATTTCCCGGCATCCCTCTTCCCCCCGTTATCCAGTCTGTCAGGGGTTAGAGATGGAGCCCTGCTCTCTGGGCAGTGGTGATACTGCTAGGATCTCCCTTGCCTATCGCAGCTGCAGCAAGAGTATCATGGAAAGAGGAGACTCAAAGGTGCGTGTGGCGATCACACACAGGGCCCCCGGATGTTTGACGGTCTATTGACCCTGTGCCGCCACTACGATTGCTTTTTCCGCTGCCACCACCCCTTATCTCATGGGGACACACGGAGTCCAGTCAGTTGTTAACAAACAAATAATCAAGTTTATTTTTTAAATGCAGGAACAAGCTTATGGTTACAGTTAATTTTACTTGGCAGTTTCTTATTCTTAGTTCCTAACAGCTCCAAACTGATTATTCCAACTATTTATCTGACTCCACCTCACAATTCCTCTCACTCTCTCACAATACAACTCTACTAACCCACACCTAAACCTCCCTCTTCCTTCTTCAACTCCCAAGCCTCAACTCCCAAACCTCAACTGACTTTCAAAACCTCCCACTCTAACTTTTATTCCCCCCTTGCATTCTCACTGGCCAATCACATCACACAAATTTTAACCCTTTCCTTATGACCTATCCTAGGAGGCAAACGCCACAGTGCATTTGACAGGTTTGGCAAAAGACAGGATGCTATTGGAGAGCTGACATGAGGGAAAGAACTGTGGAACTCAGAAGAAGCCACCTTTGAGGAGAAAAAACTAAATCCGAGGTAAGACACCTTGACACTTGAGGTTCAGGTGGCCTCAGTGACCCGGAGTACCTTCCATCAGCTTCAGCTGGTGGCCCAGCTATGCCCCATTTGGACAGGGATAGCCTAACTACTGTTGTCCATGTTCTGGTAGTCTCAAGGTTAGATTACTGCAATGCGTTATACGTAGGGCTGCCTCTGAAGACGGTTTGGAAACTTCAGCTGGTGCAGAATTCAGCAGCCAGGCTGCTCACCAGAACATGATGATTTGAGCACATTACACCGATCCTGGTTCAACTGCACTGGCTACCAATTAGTTTCCAGGCCCAATTCAAAGTGCTGGTTTTGACCTATAAAGCCTTAAACAGCTTAGGACCACAACAGCTCAAGGACCGCCTCTCCCCATATGAACCTACCCGGACCCTGCAACCATCATTTGAGGCCCTCCTTTGTGTGCCTCCTCGAGAGGTCCAGAGGGTGGCAACACGAGAACGGAGCCTTCTCTGCAGTGGCTCCTCGTCTGTGGAATGCTCTCCCCAGGGAAGTTTGCCTGGTGCCTTCATTATATACACCTTTAGGCGCCAGACAAAAACGTTCCTTTTTGACCAGGCCTTTGCTTGACCTAATCAACATCCCATACTGTGATCTTTTTTTGTGAACCGCCCTGAGACCTCTGGGTATCAGGCGGTATATAAATCCAATAAATGAAATGAAAGGGCACTCACCTACAGGTACCAACAGGCTTTGGCAGTACCACACCGGCAGTGTAAACAGCCTGGAAAATCCCCTCCAAGTGGACCCGTCGGGTGATCTCCCGGATCAGCACAGGGGCCACCCGCTTGGAACGCAGTTTCTTGTGCACACAGAGGAAGTTTATTTCTACCATCTTCTTTTCCCTTCAGAGGAAGAGAAAGACAACAACTCTGAAGAACAGTTTCTCTGTCACATTTTGAAAAGCGAGCTGAAGGAGAGCAGGAAAGACCGTCCTGGATTTATTAAGTCTCATATCCACGCTCTTCTCCCCCCCTCCAAAAACGACTTTAAGCTAGAAAGATGTTAAATTATTTTTGAATGCCACAACTGCTCGTATTTTGTTAGCTAAAAAGTGGAAAACCCAAGAATTACCAACAATAGAAGAATGGCAGATGAAGATGATGGATTTTTCGGAGCTAGCCAACCTAACTGGAAGAGTCCGCGACCAGAAAGAGGAGGAATATCAGGAAGAGTGGAATAAATTTAATGATTATCTAGTGAAATTTGTTAAGTTAAATTAACTGAAAATAGCTTGCGGATACTAAATTGGCTTAGAATTTTATTTATGTTAAGTGATGAATTAATATGTTTAATTCCATAAGATGAAGATTTAAGGATGTTAATGTTTAAGTTAAATTTCATAAGAATTGGGATTTGGAAAACCGTTAAAAGGATCATGCAATGAAATTCAACCAAGGGGTAGCGAGGAAGTCACTTAACAAAGTTAATAAGTGTAATTTTCAATAAGGCTATGATTTATGTCTGTTTGTCTTGTGTGTTTGTTTGTTAATAATAATAATAATAATAATAATAATAATAATAATAATAATAATAATATCTTTATTGTCATTGTAATGACAATAATATCTTTATTGTCATTATAATATTGTGAAAACTAATACAATATTTTTTGGGGGGGAAAAGACTTTAAGCTCTCTACGCTACACTGCCCTGAGTTATTCGCCACCCCGCACACTGTTTCTTTGTGCATACACCAATTTACTGGGCTGTTTTCGGGCAATACTATTCAGTCAATATTCTACCTCGCCCACATCCAGTTATTATAAAGGCCTGCAGAGCCGCAGAAGATCCCAGCCGCTATGTAACTTGTAACGTGAGAGGTGTTGGGGTTCAAGCCTGGTTGACTTGTTCCACGCGACTTTTTTGCAGCATAAAATTAAAAAAGCACTCTGCACACGCCCAAAGGTCCCCTGCGCATTTGAAAGGTTACGGAGCGGAAACAGTGAAAAATGGCTCCAGCTCAAATTGAAACCTTTTCTTTAATCCACAAAGGGCATCCAAAGTCAAGAGACAGAAGTGTGTGGCTTGACTTACGTGTCATATATGTGTATAGCAGCCGGGATAGCACTGATGAAGCCAACCAGCTTCTTGCTGGAAATGACTCTCACACCGCAGTGCCACTGGGGCAGCCAGCCTGGAGGACGCAAAGCCCTGAAAGAAACATGGGGTCTCGTCAGAGACATCTTGATCCAAAAGCCCATATGAGATCGCTGCTGAAGCGCAGGGCGCTTTGCCAAGTAATAAGCCCAGGGAAAACCTCTTCAAGAGGCCTTGCAGTCCAGGCAGGTAATACTGAAATGGCAGATACACTTAGCATGGCAGTATAAAGCAGATGATGGGGAAACTGTGGCCCTTGAGATGCTGTGGGACTCCAACTCCCATCAGTCCCCACCAGCGTCGCCAATGGTCAGATACAGCTCGGGCGGAAGATTTATCTCAGGTTGTGGGTTCAAGCCTTTGGTGGGCAAATGTTTCCTGCATTGGACTAGATAACCCTCGTGATCCTTTCCAACTCTGCAACTCTATACAGTGGTACCTTGGGTTACAGACGCTTCAGGTTACAGACTAACCCAGAAATAGCACCTTGGGTTAAGAACTTTGCTTCAGGATGAGAACAGAAATTGTGCTCTGGCGGTGCAGCGGCAGCAGGAGGCCCCATTAGCTAAAGTGGTACCTCGGGTTAAGAACAGTTTCAGGTTAAGAACGGACCTCCAGAACGAATTAAGTTCTTAACCCGAGGTACCACTGTAATTCTCTAATGGGTATTAAGAATCCAGCAACATCTCGAAGGTCACAGGTCCCCTCTACCGTGGTATACAGTCATGTCTTGGTTTTCGAACAGCTTAGTTTGCGAACGTTTTGGCTCCTGAACACCGCAAACCCGGTGAGTGTTCCAGTTTGCGAACTATTTTTGGAAGCCGAACGTCCGACAGGAGCTTCCTGCAGCCAAACATAAGCCACGCTTTGGTTTTTGAACGTTTTGGAAGTCGAACGGACTTCCGGAACGGATTCCATTCGACTTCCGAGGTACGACTGTAAAGGCAGATTGTCACACAATGAAAAAAGTCAAAGTTTCCAGCTGCACGCTTCATGGCTTTATGGACAGGCTTGGCAGTATACATGCCCAGTAAAATTTCAGAACTGGGGTAGCTGGGGAAGAAAACAAGGCTCCTGGTGGCCAGGAGATGGCAGACTGCATGCCAGCACAGTAGAACAAATGGCCCAAGCATGCTGAATTTATATAAATTGCAGAGGCTGCAGAATTGTCTTGGTATGGTGGTGTGCCCTTTAGATAGAAAGTCTCTTCATCTATCACTATTTTGACTCAGTGGCTGACGACGATTGACTCCATGAGCTCCAGCTTATCCCACACATATGTACCCACATTACATATGTTCCCTGTTTCTATTGTTTCCCACTGAAACTATCAGAACAGAAGCAGGCATAGAATCATAGAGCTGGAAAGGGACCCTGAGGCTCATCATCCAACCCCTTGCAAGGCAGGAATATGCAGGTGGCCCATATGGGGATCGAACCCACAACCTTGGCGTTATCAGAACTACGCTCTAGCCAATTGAGCTAGCAGGTGCCCCCTGACCCTTGGAAAAGGGGGATTTACATATGGGGTAGTAGTGACCCATGTTGGGCAAGTCAAGACCTTGGGTCAATATGGGTCAATATGAACCCAAGCACTTGGGTCAATATTTTAGCTATTTCAGCATAAGGAGTCAGTTTTGATTTTTATGTATTAATTTTTTACAGATGGAGACCACGGCAGAGAAATTCAGACGGACCCTTAACTCACCACAGGAGGAACTCTGGTGAATAATCAAACCGGAACATGTTGTCGTCATCTTCCACGTAGTTCTCGTTCAGGAGAGTGTACAGCTCTTTGAGCTGAAGAAACCAAGAGAGAAAAGCATAATCTGCTTAAGGAAGCAAAGCTGCCTCTTAAGAGAACAGAGTTATCCGGAAGGACACTTGTGGCGAGAATTATTAAAGAGCCACTGCAGGGGAAGCTACCAGCACACTAAAATAGCTTTAGACATAGACTGGGGAAGACCCGACATCAACTTCTACTTGTAGTCCACATCTTCACAATCACCTACCAGCAGAAGAATCTTAAGGATCTCCCTAACAGCTACCCTGTGAGGTACTGACACAACAAAAATTGCTACACAATGAAGAAGTAGTTTAAGAGTTTACTGGCACAGGTGTGTCTTGGCTGCAATGTACCAAACATTTTTTTAAAAATGAGACTGGGACAAAAAGGCTGCGTTCACACACAATGATCAACTGTGATTTAGCAGCTGGGGGGGGTGATATTTGAAGAGATTTTGTTTTAAGCTATGATTCTTGGTCTGTGTGACACAACAAGCTGTAACTTGTTGACAGTGAAACCAAACTCCTGCAAAGTTTCACAACAATCCAACTTCAAGACAAGGGTTATGTAATCGGCTTGTTTAACTAGCCAGTTTGTTTTCAGCCAGGATTCCCGATTCATATGACAGGAAGTTGCTAACCTTCTTGGAAAGCAAAACCCATCTCTGTACAAGTCCTTTCCCTGGCTGCATAGTGGCAGGAGAGGGGAGACTGCAAAGCCCAATGCTTTTGCTCAGGCTTGCTACAACTCATCCACGTAACATCAAACCATGGTTGAGCATTACGTATGAGTGTAGTCTTGAGTCTCAAACCAATAACAGAGGGCTAGTTTTTAAGAGATAAAAAGATGAGGTCAGTGTTACAAAAAACCAAAGTGTTATGAAATTGTGCGCATGTTTTAAATGATATCTGTAAATGTTTATATCAATAATAACATTTTTAAAAGGTAAACGAGTCAATAAAAATTGACTCTTAAAGTGCTGGTAGGCTCTACATGATCAGCAGGAAAGGTTTTGGGCCACACGGAAAAACTATGGCACAAACAAGGGCAAAATGAAGAGACGTGGACAAGGCAGAACAATGCAGAGATGCACAAAGAGATCCAGTTGACTCAAGCCAGCCAGCCAAGCTTAAAGCTATGAGATCAATCCTATGACCAACTTTACCCGCACAAAAACCTAGCTAGTTTTCAGGAGGAAACTCTGGGCGAAGGGAGAGAAAGAAAGAGGAACAGCGGCATGGTCAAAATTAAGATGCCAGAAGAAAAGCCAAACACGGAATGGACAGGGAAAAGAGAAATATGGATCATCTAGCAAAGCTGTGGAAAGCCTTAAAATGAAAGTGGTCAGAATCCTGAGATGGAACAACTGGACGCTATGGTAGCAATGGGGTAGGTTGGTGGAGATGGTTTAGAGGAGAACCTTCTAGGATGGTTAGTTCCGCTGCATCCCTACTCACCACACCTCGATCCCCCAAGTCCAGAGCATCCCACATAAAACCCTGAGGCAAAGTGTAGGGCTCCTGGCGGATGTTGTCCTTGTCTGGTTCAACAGGTCCGTGAGTGTTCACTACTTCTCCTGAGAATGGGGGGAGAAAGAGAGAGGATTGCTGCCATGCATGACAAATAATTACCGAAGGGACCTTCCTAGCCCTCCACATGTGTGGGCAACTCCAGCCTCCAGACCCCCAATTCTTTCAGGTCCCATATGCTTCTGTCCAAGAGAACTAGTAAGATCCCGTCTGCAGCATTGCTGCAAGGGCCCACATTCCCCGATTCCCCAAGCTACCTGCAATCCCATTTCTGGGACTGAAACATCACACAGCTTGAACACTCACACAATTTGCACAGTTTCTTGAGGTTTGGGGAATGCACAAGATGTAGGTGACTGTTGAACCATTGCCCTAATTGGCATAGTAACAGGCTGGAAAGATCTCCCCAACGTTTTGAGACTACAGTGGTGCCCCGCAAGACGAATGCCTTGCAAGACGAAAAACCCGCAAGACGAAAGGGTTTTCCGTCGCGGAGGCGCTTCGCAAGACGAATTTCCCTATGGGCTTGCTTCGCAAGACGAAAACGTCTTGCGAGTCTCGCCATTTTTTTTTTGTTCCCCCCCCTTTTTCAAAGCCGCTAAGCCGTTAATAGCCTTTTAACAGCTTAGCCGCTAGCCCGCTAAGCCGCTAATAGCGCTAAATCGCTATAGCGCTATTCCGCTTAGCCACTAATGGGGTTGCTTCGCAAGACGAAAAAACCGCTAGACGAAGAGAATCGCGGAACGGATTCTTTTCGTCTTGCGAGGCACCACTGTATTTAAAGCCATGGCCAGATAGAGAAAAGAGGAAGGAGAAGATTATGTACCTAATTTAGGGACTGGCTGTGTGTCCAGAACTGATAGCTGCGTTTTGGTGGCTTCTTCCATTGTCTGGCAGGTCCTTGTCCTACGGAGAACAGCTCAATGGCCTTTTGAATCTCCTGCATTCTTTCTGCTGGCAAGGTCACCTGCAGACACCAAAGGCACAATGAGTAACTGACCACCACGTCCTACTTTTCCCCCTCCCTGAAAGTTTAAAATTTTGGAGAGGACATTCTCCTGCTACCCCTTAAAACCACTGAACATTCAAAGCCAACACTGCCCTCCACCCCCACCATTCCAACCTACCCACACTGAAAGCAGAACAAATGTAAATGCAACAATGTAGGTCAACCAGTCTCCATAGAACTTCCCCTGCATAGATCCCCAGCCTTTCCTAATTTAACTTTATGGGTACCCAAAAAAGAACACAGTATAGAGAATGGGAGGCTCAGGGAGTGGAAGAGAACATGAGGATGGTTCAACATGACCAACCTGTTGCAAAATATTTTTGCTTTTTACCTTTACTGTCTGATCTTGGGCTGAATCAACTTGATCCGACTTTTCCTTCTTCCGCTTCTGTTTCTTTTTCTTCTTTTTCCCCCCACTGTCATCAGCTGGGCTTAAGCCACTAAGGAAGAAATGAAACACGACTAAGAGCAGGGCTTGAAGGGAGCTGGGGCCGTGTGCCAAGGTCACAGTTTGCTTCTGATTGGTCACTTTTGACCAGTATACCTTGGGGAAACTCACTCTTTCAAGCTAGCTCCTGAGTGGATGTATGGGAAGAAAGAAACCACTGCTCTGACTCCTGCAAGGCTAGAACCCCAAATTATACAGACTAAATTGCATGGAATAAAGGTGTGCGCTTCACACAATCTGTAGCTTCTTGTGGTGTGGGGGAAGGAGGATATCTCTGTGTTCCAGTTTTGTGAGGAATTGGGAAAGAAGGGTTGGCTGCAGTATGTGACGTGACTCATTTGCTCAAGTTATCTGAGGCGACCAGGTCTTCTGCAACTTTGCCTCGGCACAATTTTTCCACCTTAACAAGACTTTATTGAACTGCTTGTGTGAGAAGCCCTGACAATATTGCACCAGCACTGACTAGTTATAACACAGTTATGGACTATCCACATAGCACAATGTGCACACTCTTAGCTTGTAACTCCTGTCTAATTTAGCACTATGGTGGCTGCTGCAAAGACAAAAGACAATATACCTTGAGCATTCTTTGCAATCTCCTTTTTTTGCCTAAGCTGCAAAGTAATCCTCTAGCATGCGATCTGTCGCTCTTCTTAATCATTGTTTTGTTATTGTGGATTAAAATAATATATTGGCCTTGTTTTCAGGAAAAAGGAAGGTATAAAAATTAAAATAAGTTCCCTGTACCCACAATGCACCCACTTTCCCACACCACAAATATCTTTCCACGGAGGAACATCTGATATGCCACCATGGAACACTGGTTCGAAATGTCCCCCTACATGAATTTGCATGCTTGCCATGGAAATTCTGTGTGTTGCATATGATTCTGGGGTGTCTTCCAAGGGAGTGCTCTCTGTCAGCACAGGGTGTCAGCAAAATCTACTGAGCCTCACTGCAGCCCTGCACAAGCCAAGTGCACAAACCAGACAGCATTCTCTATTACTAGTGTGCAAGCTGTTTGTTAATGGCTGGCAAACCCAAACAAGTAGCAAAAGCTGGCTTTAAGCCCAAGATAAGAGCTTCTCCCACAACTTTAAATCCTAGTGGAAGCCACCAAGGAGCTGCGACAGAACCCATCTGTTGGAAAAAGATTCTGGGGAAGGAGGAATATTTTATGTGGAGCCTCTTGGGCTTTGCTATTGCTCAGTATGAAATTTTACCCCCCAATTCATCTTTGTGGTAGTACATTGCACGACGCACTGACACACAACCTGTTTTTTTAGGGAAGTTTATTTTATTTTGTTCATTGAGTATATTTATATCCTGCCTTTCTTTCATCGTGGAACCTAAGGCAACATAAATTTCTTTTTATTAATCATGCATAAGTTGCTAAGGAATTCCAGGATTCTATAGAACAAAGACTGAAAGTCATTCTTTGAGTCTAACTTCCTCCAAAACAGGAAAACAATCAATGACATGATTGAAGCACCCCAGACAGATATGTGCATGGCTTCAACTATAAAACCATTATGCTACAACTTCTCTGGGTTGCTTGTTGCCTGATGACTGGCCCTTCAGATTATGAAGTTCTAATGTTAAGCTAAAATCTACATCCTTGCAATGTAACACTCATTGCTTCACATCGGAGACTTCTGTGCTCCAGTGTTTCACACTGACTGCTGAGCCATGCTACCAAATGTAGGTGCTTCTAAGTCCTACTTGGCAAATCTACAGCTAATACTTAAAGCAAGTAATCTTTTCAGAAACCAGAGGGATAAGTCTGGACTAGATATTAAGGAATCTCGGCATAGTGTGGTCATGCATTGCAGTGGAACCAAAGAGAGAAACAGACTGCAGCATAAAGCTATTTTAGCACAGACTAATCACATTCTGCACAGTATTGCAAACAATAAAAGTTTTACACACAATTGCCATTCATGCCACAGTTGCCAGAGAATCTCACAAATCTCCTGCACTGCAAATGCTCACACACTCAAAAATGTGATGCTCACTGGTTATTAATACAGGAGCAATGATCCTACTGAGACAGCAGTGAAAATACTATGTTTCTCAGTGGCAAAAGAAAGTACTCCATGACAAAGTACTGTAAGTGTTCATCTGAACAGGAAAATACATGCTCAACAGATTAATCTAATTTAATAGATATATTTCCACCACCTGAATTTTAAGTGGCTCTCATCTTTCATACATACAGGGTCAATTCAGTCTTCAAAACAAACCATGGTTAAGAATTATGAGGTTCATTCACAATGAGCACATGCAGGCTCCTTAGATGGTGTCTGGCAAACTCTGATAGGCAGTGTGAAGCCTCCCTTCACAGCTTAGTTGCTGGGGTCAGGGTAGTGGAATTCCCTGCCCCAAGTGGAATTAAGAGAAAAGAAGACAGACTCTTCAGCTGAAGTGTGCCCCAGATCTGGCAAGACAACCATAAAGCTAGAAGGCTCTTCTCTAAACCTTTAGTAGGGTCCTTCCCAAGCAAACTCACCTCCACCAGACAGTTAAGCACAAGATCTAAGTCGCACTGTGCACCACTAGTTGAGGGCAAAGCAAACCAGGTGCCTCCATCAAGAGTGGATGGTTCCAGTTTACTGAAAGAAGCAAAACCAAACAAGCAACACACACCCGAAACAGAAGGGCAAAGAAGATCCACACAGCCCCCACGCCAGGGTCACAAGATAGTGGGAGCCATGGAAGCAATGCTTTAAGAGCCTCAAGTGCATGCCCATGTTGTGATTATCACAATTCCCATCAGCAACTGAAGTCCTTGGTTCAAATGTGCCCTTTCTGATGCATTCACAAAGACTTAGGCATGCCCCTCTCTTTCCATCCCCCTCTACAAAATTGGAATAATAAAACCTACCTTACAGGACCTGCTGTAAGGATTTTAAAAAGAAGGTGACTTCCACATCTAAAAAGCACTTTCAACCCAAAAGTGCTTTTAATACAATTAAAACTAGAAAAAAACTATACACATGCGAAATATTGTTTTTATCAAAACACTTCCAGAATCTTCCTTAACTCTTACCCTATCATGTAAGGAACAAGAATCGCTTTCTGGGCCCAGTGCAAAGTGCTGGTTTTGACCTATAAAGCCTTAAACGGCTCAGGACCACAATACCTCAAGGACTGCCTCTTCCCATGTGAACCTACCAGGTTCCTGAGATCATCTTCTGAGGCCCTCCTTCGTGTGCCTCCTCCTTGAGAGGTCCAGAGGGTGGCAACACGAGAACGGGGCCTTCACTGCAGTGGCTCCCCGTCTGTGGAATGCCTTCCCCAGGGAAGTTCACCTGGCGCCTACATTATACACCTTTAGGCACCAGGCAAAAACATTCCTTTTTAAGTAGGTCTTTGGTTGATCTTACTGACATCCAATACCCTTTTAGAATGTGGCTCTTTTTTTGGATTTTTTATTTGGGCTATTTTTAATTTGATTTTATATATTATGATTTCGTTTGTGAATCGCCCTGAGATCTCTGGGTATAGGGTGGTGTATAAATCCAATAAATAATAATAACTATCTCAAAACCCACAGTTCAGCAGCTTCCACAGATTCCCACAGTACACTGAAGGAAGCCATTACTTTGTAGATCTGGATTATGGGTGCTACACCGCATCAAAGCAGAACATGGAATATGAAACAAGAGGCAAGCCAAACCAGACTGATTAAGCCAGGATAGCCTCACATGCATATTCCCACTGTGGCAGCAGCTAAACCAGAAAACCAGTTTGGTATCAGAGCGGAGGGTTGAGTTATAATAAGATCTGTAGGATTTGTCCAGCCATGTTTGTAACACTTGGAAGCATTAACACCTGGAAGGTTTAATAAGGAGAGCTTTAAGTCCTACTGCTCATGACCACCTAATTCAAGTACTTCAGATGATCTCTGCAGGACTCTAGTCACCAACCATTATCAACACAGCCACTGCACTTAGGCCAAAGCCTCAAAGCTACCTTCCCCCAAAAGATATTGCCAGCAAGTCCAAGACCACTTTTGGGGTTCCCATTACACCACTTTGGGAGTGTCGCAATTTGGTCCCGAGTGTGCCAGTAGTTCCCTCCTACTTTAGGGCAAACTGAAAGGCCTACTTTACAGAGCTATAAAGCTATACAGTGTTACTTCCAGTTGCGAACGGGATCTGTTCCGGAGGTCAGGCCACATCCCGAGGAATTCGCAACCGGAGGTGCCGCTTCTGCGCATGCATGTGGCATGTAGAGTGCTTCTGCGCATGCGGTGAAACCCGGAAAAATACTTCCGGGTTTGCCCCGTACGTATCCCGAAGGATACGTAACTGGAGGTGAATGCAACTAGAGGTACCACTGTATGTGATTGATAATAGTGACAATGAGGAAACAGTTTAGGCTGGGTCATCTAAAAACAGACACACTTTAAATGACTGAAGGTCCGTCCACAAACCAGTGACACCTATTGCAGAGATAAAAGAACCCAAAAAAACTCAACTTCTCAGGCAAGAAGCCTCTAAAAAGATGAGCCAAGTGCTGCAGCTATTGCTTCAAAGGCATTTATTCCTCCCTCTGTCAACCACCTACTTGTGTAACAGGGATGTTGTACCGCCCCCCCCCCCCCAAGTTCTAAGCAAACTTAGCAACAAAGGAGTGGAAAATATGCACAAGCCGCTTTGTTACCTGTCCAAGCAGGGGAGAAAGAACAAATCATTTAATTAGATATAAAAGAGTACTGTAAGTGTTCATCTGAACAGGAAAATACATGCTCAAAAGATTAATCTAATTCAATAGCTACATTTTCACCACCTGAATTTTAAGTGGCTCTCATCTTTCATACATACAGGGTCAATTCAGTCTTGAAAACAAACCATGGTTAAGAGGCTCATTCACAATGAGCACATGCAAGCTCCTTAGATGATAATTAGGGGTTATTTAGATATAGAAGAGCTGTTTCAAGTCATAGAGTGCAAAAACAGCTTTTCCCTATACATAACAAACCTTTTCCCTCAAGTGTATCAAAGAAAACTAGAAGTACACAGCAAGACACTGGCTGGTTTGACCGTATGTACAGTGGTACCTTGGGTTAAGTACTTAATTCATTCTGGAGGTCCGTTCTTAACCTGAAGCACCACTTTAGCTAATGGGGCCTCCTGCTGCCACTGCACAATTTCTGTTTTCATCCTTAACGAAGTTCTTAAACCGAGGTAATATTATGGGTTAGCGGAATCTGTAACCTGAAGCGTATGTAACCTGAGGTACCACTGTACTCTTATAACACTCTTAACTGATTATTTTTTCTTGACAATGTGGATCTAACTCAGGCCTATGGTAAATGAAAATAGCCCCCTTAGCTCTTTTGCGTTTTGCGGGCAGAAATTGTATGAGTGTATGTGGAAGCTACTAACTTTTGAAGACATCATCATCATCAGTCTCCTGAAACACATAACTGCATTTAAAATGCTTTCCATCCCAGTTTTAGATCAAGCAGTGACCTAGGAAATTTTCTGCCTTTCCCAAAAGCCAACAAGTCAAGTTTGTTCTAGGGAGTCTCCTCTGCAGGCACCTCACAGCAGAATCTTATCCACGTCTATTCAGCAGAAAGCCCCACTGAGTCCAATGGGGCTTACTCAATGGCACAAGAGCATTACTACTCATGCTAGTAATTCTCAAACCATGTACTGTGGCACAATGATTTACAGGGAGAGAAGTGTTAGTGGGTCATCAAAAAAATAAAACTACATAATCAGATGTTCCTGTGAGCCCATAGCACCTGTACACAGGGGAGGCTGCCTTTCCTTTTTTCACCAGGAGTTACACTCAGAACAGTTCTTCCTGCAAGAACACAGGGAATGGGATTCCTCGATGCAGGTCATCCTTATGCTTTCTTACACCACCAAAACAAACATTTATTGTCGCAAGTACGAAAGTGTGCATCTTATTTGAATTCAGAAACGGGTGTGCGCCTCAGCTGTTGTACATTTCCCAAATACTGTTTTAGTCAGTCCTGCTCTGGTTGAGTCACATTATGCTAAGGTCTGGCAAGCCTCTTGTGTGCAGATGTTCTTGTTCTGAGACTGCTAGCGCAGCTCATGACTACTTGGCCTCTTTGAGCCCAAGTTCTATAGTTCTCTATGTAGGTACAACGATTAAAAATAAGCTTAGCAGCAATGGTGAAGACTTTGAGGAGGAATGGCCATATTCAAAGAAATGCTTGTCCATAACATGTCCCTGTTTTCATTCTTGTTGAACAAAAAAGGCACTAGATTGATATATCCTGGGAGCAAATCCATTAAGGTTGGCCTGAAAGCAACTGAGAAACCATTTAGTGCATCGCCCTGCCATAAAAGCAGCAGGGTGATTTCAAATACAGTGGTACCTCGGGTTAAGTACTTAATTCATTCCAGAGGTCTGTTCTTAACCTGAAGCACCACTTTAGCTAATGGGGCCTCCTGCTGCTGCGCCACTGGAGCACGATTTCTGTTCTCATCTTGAAGCAAAGTTCTTAACCCGAGGTACTATTTCTGGGTTAGCGGAGTCTGTAACCTGAAGCGTATGTAACCCGAGGTATCACTGTAAGGGTGATTTATGACAGTAGCAAAAAAAGAATATATAAGCAGCTGGTCCTAATTAAGTTTCCCATTGGTACTTCATATATACCCTAAGAATGCTACACATTAATTGGTTAGATTACACTACTTAAAAAGGCACATTCATAGGCAGAAATGCTTTTTTAAAAAAATAAGAATGCAGCAGAGGCTTCTCATTTGGGTTGCAGCTGCCATTTTCGCTTTCACTCCCTGACCCACCGCCAACCAGGTCCCTGGCGGTGCCCATTAGCTGGTTTATCCCTCCAAGGCCGGGGGCAAGTTTATCCAGCTGCCTCCAACAAAGGTTCTTTTAACAGCTTTGTGAGAGGCAGAAATTCAGAAGTTGCATCTCCAGCCAAGGTGTGTGTGGAAATGCAACTCTTGTATTTCTGCCCCTCGCCCAGCAGTTCAAAGACACAGGAACTCGTGGTGTGAAATAATAGCTTATTTTTTGGGGGGGGGGACCAACCTTATGCTTAGAGCTACAGAATAACATGCATTTGCTATACAATAAAAGCATGCAATAAAAACCGTCCCAGTCTCTCCTTCGCCCAGGCTACACTTTCCCTCAAGCTCCTGCTTTTCAGACCACTTCCTTCACACCCACCCTATAACCTCCAAATATCTAGGTCCCGGACCCCTCCCTATGGCGGGTCTCCTTATCACGAAACAGGCCCGGCAAACGCTTCGCCTTCGCGGTCACGCCGCTGGTGTGCAACGGGCGAGGAACCAGCGGCTCCCCCTTTCGGACTGGCACAGCAACCAACCACTCAGGACGCAACCGCCCAGTCGCCTCAGCCAATCAAGCGCCGCAAAAAGGGAAGGTGGGCAGGGGCCGACTTTATTTCCCGCCTCTTCTCTCCACCTCCCACCAGACCGCCTCCCCCCCCCCTCCGCCGGTTGTGTCTCAGGGCGGCTCCCCTCACACCAGAGAGCGGAGGCCCGACCCGGACCGGCTCAGAGCCGCTCACCCTCGGTTGCAGTTGTGCTCGTCCTCATTCTCGCAGTCGCTGCAGTGCTGCTGGTCGTTCTCCTCCTCCCCTGACGGCCGCCTCACTGCTGTATCACTGTCGTCCGCCATCTTGGCGAAGGGCAGCCGCGCCGGCTGCCGCGCCTGCGTAAAAGAAGCCGAAGACGGGCTGCGATTGGGCGCCCGGCCGCAATGAGCTTTGGGACTTGTAGTCATCTCTTGGCGGTTCAGGGTGGGAACCGGAAGCGCAGCGCACGTGAACCACGCTGACGGTGGGGGGGGGAGCAAACCCTGGTTCCCTGTGCTTTGGTTGTCAATGCTGTACTAGGCGTTGGGAGGTTTCAAGTCTGATGAACGGCGATATGGAAATTTAATTAATAATAATCAGTGCTTTTTCCTGGGGGGGGGGACGCATACCCCTAAACATTTTGTGAATTTTTATACTTTTGTCCATTTACTGTATTTATTTTTCCTGATTTGAACTATAAAATGGTGATTTTCTTGGGTTAAAAAACCCCACTGATAATAATAATAATAATAGACCCTTCAGGCAGGAAAACCCCAAATATGACAATAATAATAATATAATTTATTATTTGTACCCTGCCCATCTGGCTGTGTTTCCCCAGCCACTCTGGGCGGCTTCCACAAAGACCAAAAATACACTAAGATGTGACACATTAATAATAATAAACCCTTAAGTGGGAGAATACAAATGTAACTGTAGGGTGGTGCCTTTATCAAACCCCTTGCAATGCCGGAATCTCATTTAAGATGGTTCTGGAGCAGCGGCAAACAAGCTTGCTCCATCTTTCATGTGACAACTCTTCAAATATTTGAAGATGGCTAGCATATCTCCTTTAAGTCTTCTCCAGGCTAAACATACTCAACTCCCTCAACCATTTCTCATAAGGCTTGGATTCCCAATCCTTATAGATTCGCAGATTCCAAGAATTCTAGAGATGGAAGGGACCACGAGGATCACCTAGTCCAGCCCCTTACAATGTAGGAATATTTCTGCCCAACATGGGGCTCGAACCCACAACCTGAGATTAAGAGTCTTGTGCTGTACCAACTGAGCTATCATATGGGTCACCCTCCTCTGCACAAGTTCCAAATATAGTGTTCATTAAACTTTTTGGGTTCAGTGTCTCCTAGACTTTTTGGATAACCACCAAAAGTGGATGCTACTGAAGCCATTTTTTTGCTATCAGATTTAGCAAATTGGTATCAAATAAAATATCAGTTATGAATATGTGATTCTATTTCTGCCTTGGCTGGCAGCTGTTCTCCAGAGCCTCACAGAGCCTCCAATCACCTAAAATCCTCTTTTAACAGAAGCTTGCAAGGGACTGAATATAGGGTTTCTATTGCGGTACATGTTTATACCTCCTTCACTCAGGGGAGCAACAAGCAGAACTTATGTCCCAGGGAGAGCACAACAATTTCTGTGAGGTTTGGCTGAGTGAAGGTCATCCTGTTGAGTAGATATTTAAACCCGATTTCCCCAGCCAAAGTCCATCAACATTCAAGACACAACTACACTAACTACGGTAATCTACTTCGGGCAGCGAGGGAACTAGGTGTTTTTGTGTTTGTTTTCAAGTAAGTTGTCCCAAAGCAAGAAGGGATAATGTCCCCAACAAGTCTATAGTGTTGTGTTTTGTTTTGAAGTTAGACACGAGGTGAAAATATAGATTTTTGCATTTCAGGACCTATCAGAAACCACACGGCTCTGCCGTAAATTCTCTCTGGACCCATCAACAATTTTAAATTCAAGAACTGGCAACAATCTTCATTTTACCAGGGGTGGGAGGGTAGTGTTCATTCAAAGAATCTACTCTGCCACAGAACTGTCACCCAGCTGCCTCTGTCAGCTGGGATTTTGTCCCAAAGACTTTCAAGCAACCAGTCGATACTACTAGTTTATTTATTTAATAAAATTTATATACCGCTTGATTGTAGGGGAAAGCGTCAGAGCGATTTACAGAGAGTTAGAACCCCAATAGAATAGGGGGTTTTTGTAGTCTTTGTTTGAAATGCATTCATCTTTCTTGGTTATAAGCATGATTTGTTTGTGTGTGTGGAAAAGTGAGTGAACAGACTCAAACAAGTTAAAATTCATACAGGCTTTCTAAACCTCAAGGTAGGCTTGTTTAAATAAGAATGCCTTTAGCAGGCGTCGAAAAAGAATACAGGAGCTTCAGTCTTTCTCGCTAGCGAAGAGGAGCAGCTTTAAAACTAGCTTTGACCGCCTGGAACCCTTTCTAATTCCTTGCCCATTCCTTGCTCCTCGCCTCCTTCTCCTTCAAATCGCGACGATGGCTTCGCGCTTGGGGAAGCAGAGCCCAGCCTCGGTGGCAGCGATTGGTTGGGTTTCCCAGCGTGACTTCCCTCTGCCAATAGGAAGTCGGAAAAGTTGGACACGGGTGAAGCCGACGAGAGGGTGGGAAAAGGTCTCAGTCAGCATTTGGTGGCGGAACCGAACTGGTGAGTGTGGGATGTTTTCGCGAGGATCGGGACCCTTCCTTCGCTGAACCCGGGGGCTGGGAGGGTAGGCATATCCCTCGGGAGAACAAGCTTGTTCGGGTTTATTTCCTCCGCGGCGTACCGAGGGTTTCTGAGAACGTGCAGAGTTCCCGCGCCGCGTTCGCTGTTGAGCCACTGCAGTCAAGTCACCATGCCTCTGAGATTAAGTGGAAGGGATTCCAGGGTAGCCAGACAGTTCTATCCATAAGTGCTTCTTCTCTCTTTTTTAAATAGAAATTTTGGAAGTGTAGGTGGCAGGGGGCTCCACATCTGTGGCAGAAGACAGCAGTGAATTATATTTGTTTTCTCCCGGTTTCTCTGGAGGAATCTACGTTTTGCAAAACTCCAACCCTGCCTCTCCAAAGTTAAACGACTTATTGCCAGTTTTTGCTCTCTCTCTCTCTTTTAAGAACCACAGATTTAAAATGCAAAGTCTGTACTGATTAGTAATGATAAACTGGGATAAATGTGAGATACTGGAGGTGGGGCAGTAAAATATTGCAGAGGGCCTGAGCCATGCTCTTGTTAGGACCTAAGGGTTTCCCTGGCCTGAACCCTTGTTTAAAAACACAGGGTCTCTGACTTTGCCCTGAAATCCATCTACTGCAATTATTAAGTTTGCAGATGATAGTACCATAATGGGTCTAATTACAGGGGGAGATGAATCAGCGTACAGGGGGGAGGTTCAAAAAGTATCTACATGGTGCCTAGAGAATAAAGGTAAAGGTAAAGGGACACCTGACCATTAGGTCCAGTCATGACCGACTCTGGGGTCCAAATTTTGTGTTCACAAAAAAAAAGTTGGGTAATCTATTGCAAGCCACCCAGAGAACTTAAGTTATAGGGTGGCCTATAATAAAAGGTAAAGGTAAAGGGACCCCTGACCATTAGGTCCGGGCGCGGCCGACTCTGGGGTTGCGGCGCTCATCTCGCTTTATTGGCCGAGGGAGCCGGCGTACAGCTTACGGGTCATGTGGCCAGCATGACTAGCCGCTTCTGGCGAACCAGAGCAGCACCGGAAACGCCGTTTACCTTCCCACTTGCACTCTGACGTCCTTTCGAACTGCTAGGTTGGCAGGAGCAGGGACCGAGCAATCGCGGGGATTCGAACCGCCGACCTTCTGATCGGCAAGCCCTAGGCTCTGTGGTTTAACCCACAGTGCCACCTGCCTAGAGAATAACTTGCACCTAAATATTAGCAAGACAAAGGAGATGGTGTTGGATTTTCGGAGGAAGAGAGGGGAACTTGTCCTGTTGTATATGGGAGGTGTGTGTGTGTGTGGAGAGAGCCTCTTCCTTTAAATTCCTGGGAGTTTACCTTAGTGAAGATCTCACTTGGAAAAACAATATAACTTAGGTGGTTAGGAAGAAACTCCATTTCCTCAGGGTCTTGCAAAAGAACAATGTTAAACAACAATTGATGACCTCCTTCTACAGTAGAAAGTGTCCTCTCATATTGTATCATAGTGTGGTACGTTGGCTTGACAGCCACGGACAAAAAGTCTTTACAGAGGGTGGTGAACACAGCACATCATATCATGGGCTGTCCCTTGAGTCCGCTAGATGACATCGCAAGGGATCGATGCCTTAGAAGAGCGAGAAGAAATATCAGGGATGATTCACACCCCAGCCAGCACCTCTTTAATCTTCTACTCTCCGGCAGGAGATATAGAAGTATAATCAGTCGTACCAACAGGCTAAAAAACAGTTTCTATCCGTGGGCTGTTAGGATGCTGAACGGAAAATAATATAGTGCAACTGACTTTTGGGGTTGGTGTGTTGTGCGACAAGCACACAGAGTGCAATGAGATTGCGTGTTTGTGGGGGGGGGGAGGCTTGGTTAATTTAATTGTACACAAGTTGTACATTGACAATAAAGGCATTATTATTATAAAGGTATTATTATGTTTTGAAACTTCAAATCGTATACCTTCCTTCAGTCCCATTAGCTAAAGTGGTGCTTCAGGTTAAGAACAGTTTCAGGTTAAGTACGGACCTCCGGAACGAATTAAGTACTTAACCTGAGGTACCACTGTAGACAATCACACTCCCAAAAGAAGATTTCCTATCGCCGCCGCCACCACAAAATTGGCCACAAAATTCACAATCCTACCCTAATGGAAGAATATTGGTATTTTGCCACCTTGGTAGAAGTAGCCATTGATGAAATGGCAAAAGATTCATTCATCGCAGGGGGTTGAACTAGATGACCCTCGCGGTCCCTTCCAATTCTATGCTAATCCTTAGGTAATATTTCTGCTTGTTACGGAGGTGTTGTTTTTTACATTATGTGGAAGAAACCAGATAATTTGAACCTGGTGATTTAACTCCATGCCCATTGACCAATCCCCCTAATCTTTCATATTTGCCTCGAGAGAGCTTGGGTTTTGACCTTTGAAACTCTAAATAGTTCCGGGTTAAGTTATTAAATAAAGGACTGCCGGTGTCCATATGAAGCTTCTCCTGGATTAACCACTTGAGGCCCTACTCAGTGGTTCACCTTTAAGATCCATTTAATTGGACAGCCATGAGGAGAAGGGATTGGTCCCTTCCTTATGGAACTCACTCCCAAGGGATCTGTCATTGGCCGTCTCAGTATTGAAAGGCTTTGAACTTCTACCTGTTTCAAAAGACATTTAAAACGTGTGCTTTATTGGTCATGCATGCTGCTGTTTTAATACTGCGGATATGCTGGTTGAATTGCATTTAAATGTATTGTTGGCATTTTTGTGTTTTTATTTTTCTTGTAACGATAGGGAGCAACTCAAAAATATAGTGATTATTTTCTCCCCTTTGTGATTTTTTAAACATCTAAATTCCAGATAAGATGGATAAAAATGAATGATTTTTTTAAAAGAAAATTTAAAAATTGGGTCTTTAAAGAAAAATCGGATTTTTTTATTTAAATCAGATTTTTAAAATAAAATGCTTTTATAGGAAAAATCTTTCTAAAGATAGTTTTCTGTTTAAGTTACATTGTAGACCAAAGGCTTTTAATCAGGAAATAAGGATTTGTTTTAAGTTTTTCATGTGTATAAAACTCAGTCTAAGTTTTTGTTTTTAAAAAACCGTTTAACCACATCAGTTAACAAACATGGATACATATGCTATAATGTTATTGTTTTCATTAAAGAGATAGTTTAAATTGTTATTAAGGAAATGATTATTTTTCTCCTTCCAGTAAAGTACAGCAGAAAAGTTGTCCAAATATAAACAGTTGACTTATTAAACCTCACAATAATTTCATAATTATCTGTATGTATTTCTAATAGTGTAACCAAATCAGTAATTTTTGATATAACTGTAAAAACTACAGTACTCTGAAAATTTATTATTCCAAAAATGAAACCTTCATCTGGTTGTAAATATTAAGATTATACCAGCAAGAATGAGTCTTTCTATAAAAAAATGATTTAAATCAAGTCTTACAGATTTGAATCAATTTAAATTAAATCAAATCCACTCTGATAGGATGTTAGGTGGCGAGGTGGGTGGAAGGAAAAGTTGAAGCTCTTCAGAATCGAGTTTACAAATGAGCACAAGCTGAGTTTCACATTTCTTTTGTCGCTTAATGGTATTTTTCTTTTCCATCCAGGGCAAGATGTTTCTGGTAGGATTAACGGGTGGCATTGCTTCAGGGAAAAGTACGGTGGTTGCTATGCTGCGGGAACTGGGCTGCGCTGTCATTGATGCTGATGTTATAGCCCGACAAGGTGAGCCAGACTGTCCTGCTTGGTAGGAGGGTGAACAGAAGATGCACTTTTGTTCGCCAGTGGACCACTGGCCAGAGGCAATACAGTGGTACCTCGGGCTACAGACACTTCAGGTTACATACACTTCAGGTTACAGACTCTGCTAAAACAGAAATAGTACCTCAGTTTAAGAACTTTGTTTCAGGAAGAGAACAGAAATCGGGCTCCGGCAGCGCAGCAACAGCAGGAGGCCCCATTAGCTAAAGTGGTGCTTCAGCTTAAGAACAGTTTCAGGTTAAGAACGGACCTTCGGAACGAATTAAGTACTTAACCCGAGGTACCACTGTAGATCCTCCAGGATCCCCAAGGGAGTTGTTGTTGGGTCTGCTCTTGGGTTCTCGGCCTGGATCCATTTGTGGGATAAAAATGAGACCAATACATAGATTCCAGGCCAATGTCGCTTGCCATTCAGTTTTCCACTTGTCTTGGGGCCTACCAACATACTGCTTTTCTTCCTCAAAGAGAAGCTGCTGAGGAAGAATAGAGGGTTAATTTGGATTAGGCCTGCAGCACTGGGGAAAAGGTAAAGGGGCCCCTGACCATTAGGTCCAGTCGTGGCCGACTCTGGCGGTTGCGGCACTCATCTCGCTTTATTGTCCGAGGGAGCCGGCGTACAGCTTCCGGGTCATGTGGGCAGCATGACTAAGCCACTTCTGGCGAACCAGAGCAGTACACGGAAACACTGTTTACCTTCCTGCCAGAGTGGTACCTATTTATCTACTTGCACCTTGACGTGCTTTCGAACTGCTAGGTTGGTAGTACCTATTGATCTACTTGCACCTTGACGTGCTTTCGAACTGCTAGGTGGGCAGGAGCAGGGACCGAGCAACGGGAGCTCACCCCGTCACGGGGATTCAAACCACCAACCTTCTGATCGGCAAGTCCTAGGTTCTGTGGTTTAACCCACAGCGCCACTCGCGTCCCCAGCAGCACTGGGGAACTGGGCTTAATTCTTTGCTTAAGCCAGGGGTCAGCAAACATTTTCAGCAGGGGGCCGGTCCACTGTCCCTCAGACCTTGGGGGGGGCCTGGACTTTATTTTGAAGGGAAAAAATGAATTCCTATGCCCCACAAATAACCCAGAGATGCATTTTAAATAAAAGGACACCTTCTACTCATGTAAAAACACGCTGATTCCTGGACCATCCGCAGGCTGGATTTAGAAGGCGATTGGGTCGAATCTGGCCCCCAGGCCTTAGGTTGCCTACCCATGGCTTAAGCCAGGCTTCCTCAACCTTGGCCCTGCAGATGTTTTGAGACTACAATTCCCATCATCCCTGACCACTGGTCCTGCTAGCTAGGGATTATGGGAGTTGTAGGCGAAAAACGTCTGGAGGGCCGATGCTGAAGAAGCCTGGCTTAAGCGCTGCAGCCCTGATCCCAAAACACACACACACACACACACACACACACACACCCCTGAGAGGCGCTGTTGACCTAGAAAAACTATCTCTGCAGAAACTCTGTACCTTTAGGTGGAATGAAAACTCGGCCCCCAACCTCTCCACCAATTGCCTTTTGAAGAGTAAAATAAAACTACGTTGAGTGTTTTAAATCATGGAACTGTAATGTAATATGCTTGTGAGCTTCTAAACTTATTTGACTCACTGCTGCTAGAAAGACAGAATGCTGATCTACTGGTCTGTTCCGATAGAGCAGATCTTGTGCACTTATTTGTTAGCCTGTGGATTGCTGCTGTAGGCAGGAGATCTAACTGCAGAAAGCTTGGGAAAGCTCACGTAGCTTTCTGCTTGCGAGGAAGAGAAGCTGTGTTTGTCTCATCCCTCTGTCGACAGCACTTGGAACCTGTCTTTTTGCCTGTTGGAGAACCTCTGCAAATAGTTTGGGCCAGTTGAAGCTAGGGGTGCTGTGGATTCTGATGCCAGCTGACCTGCAATTTCTGGACTAATGTACAGCTCAGAATGTGGTTATCTGTCAGATTTCACACATCTCCAAATTTCTCGGCTCAAGAAAAGAAAAGGCACAGTATGCGTTATAAATGCACATGTTGCTGTTGTTTAGTCGTTTAGTCGTGTCCGCCTCTTTGTGACCCCATGGACCAGAGCGCGCCAGGCACTCCTGTCTTCCACTGCCTCCTGCAGTTTGGTCAAATTCATGCTGTTAGCTTCCAGAACGCTGTCCAACCATCTCGTCCTCTGTCGTCCCCTTCTCCTTGTGCCCTCAATCTTTCCCAACATCAGAGTCTTTTCCAGGGAGACTCAAACTCATGCTGGTAGCTTCGAGAACGCTGTCCAACCATCTCGTCCTCTGTTGTCCCCTTCTCCTTGTGCCCTCCATCTTTCCCAACATCAGGGTCTTTTCCAGGGAGTCTTCTCATGAGGTGGCCAAAGTATTGGAGCCTCAGCTTCAGATAAATGCACATGTTAGAATAGAAACACATACGTCGAGACGCAGTGCATGTTTAAATATGCATTTTGTGGTAAAAAGCATATTTTAAATAGTTCCTGCGGGTTTTCAAAAAACAAAATTTGCAAATTAATGGGGAAGTGGGACAGATTGGATTTCATGAATGAGGGCATGTAGGAATTGACACAAACTGTCTTATCGCAAGCAACGCTTCTCAGCTTGCGGTTTGTCTCTGCTGTCCCCCTTGGCTCTGATCGAGTTTCCCAGTGCTACCCCTGACAAAAAATTGAAAGCAACTCTGGTGGAGTCTTAATGTTAACCCCTCTTTCCTCAGTGGTCCAACCACGCTTCCTGGCATACCAGCGCATTGTGCATTCCTTTGGCCCTGAAATTCTCCTAGAGAGCGGCGAGATCAACCGCGAAGCTCTGGGAAGCATAGTTTTCTCTCAGCCCGAAAAGCGTCGGCTGCTGAATTCCATCACTCACCCTGAGATACAAAAGGAGATGGTAAAACAGATCTTGAAATACTTTATGCTGGGTAAGCTACTGGTGAGGTTGATTTTTATTTTTATTTTATTTTGCGGAATCCTCGGGGCATCGATACACGCTGACAAAAGCTGCATCGTCTCCCTTTGCCCTGCATTTTATTTTATTTTCCTTTGCTGGCCAAGAGGGGACGGACTGTAAAAAGGCCTCTGAGCTGCTTCTTTTGTGCCGTGTTTGCGCTCATCCATTCACTGCTTACATCCTGAGAATTCTTCCTTCTTTATCCTTGCCCTTTGCATTTTTGCTCCCTTAACGTTGCCTTTAAAGAGCACACACAAAAGAGTCTTTGGGAAGTATTGTGCATAATGTCACACCTTCAGAAATGCTTGCACGCGCCCCCAGCCCCCCCCCCCCCCCGCTTTTCCCGGGCGCTCTTATAAAAGCTCTTTTTGAACTCGATAAGGTAAAAGAATGGTTTGACAGCTGGGATTTCTGCAGCGCCTCTCTATTCCCTTTCATTCCTCTGATAACTGTAACAAATACAGCTGACAAATCTGTCTAATCAAGGGCCTGATTATATCGCCGGCTGCTTTGGAGGTCTCGGGGTAGCAGAGAAGGGTCTCCTCACAAGGAGGAACTCATTGAAAGCAGACAGGGTGGGAGGGAGAGCCAGAGCTCTCTGTTTTCCAGTTTCTAAGGCCAATATAACCCCCTTAGATGAGAGGGGAAAGCGTTTCGGGAACTGGGAAAATAGCCTCACTGGTGATCTTGAAAGCTTTGTTCTTCAGAAGACCTAGACTTTACTGCAAATTAAGGTAATTGGAGTAATTCAACTCCCGTCATTCAAATTAGTGGCAATATTATAAAAGCGGCTCCTCCTCTGAACTGCACACTATAACGCTGGAAGTTCCCTGTGCTTCCGAAGGAGTTTGCCACATGAAGCCAGAGGAGGGGAATATTCCCTGCTCAGAAAAACGACATCACGATGCCTTGTTCGGTACATGGATCCTGGCCCAATTTTGTTGTCGCTAAATAATTTTTATTAATTTTCAATTACAAAAATCCAATATGTGCCATATTATATTAACATGAAATAAAGGTAAAGGGACCCCTGACCATTAGGTCCAGTCGTGGCCGACTCTGGGGTTGCGGCGCTCATCTCGCTTTATTGGCTCATCTTGCTTTATTGGCCGAGGGAGCTGGCGTACAGCTTCCGGGTCATGTGGCCAGCATGACTAAGCCGCTTCTGGCGAACCAGAGCAGCGCACGGAAACGCCGTTTACCTTCCTGCCAGAGCGGTACCTATTTATCTACTTGCACTTTGACGTGCTTTCAAACTGCTAGGATGGCAGGAGCAGGGACCGAGCAACGGGAGCTCACCCCGTTGCAGGGATTTGAACCGCCAACCTTCTGATCGGCAAGTCCTAGGCTCTGTGGTTTAACCCACAGCACCGCCCGCGTCCCTCTCAAATAAAGGCACCTTTTACCTTAACACCAAATAGCGATACCAGTTCAAATACAAATCAATTACATAGCCATTTATAAATTTTGTGGGGCTTCCCAGTTGCTGTACCTCAGGGTGTGATTCCCTTTAAGTCTGCCTCCAGACTGTTGCTCAAACCAAATACAATCCATTCTTGATAAAATCCCTTATACCACCGCTACAAAAATTAACTTCAATTCGCATTGACACATAAAATAATTTGTAAATTCGCAGGTGAAGTTCTCCTTTCTTCTCCTGTGTGAGGTTTTAATTCCCGTCAGTTGTTCCTTTAATTCTTTATCCAATATTATGTCCATATGAGGCCTTCTGGCTTCGTTGACTCGGAGTTATTCTGAATAAATCTCTCTTTGCTCTTTTGGAGTTACCCAAATTTTACTCCAGAATCTGGCTAGGGGATGAAATCGCAGAAACTCTTGAGTTTGCAGCGCTTTACACAAAACTCCTTGTGCAGTTGTGTGTGTGTGTGTGTGTGTGTAAGTGTAATGAATGCTTGCAGTTTCTACAACATTTGTGATACAAAATTCACCTCCCTCCCCTCCGCAGGCCATCGGTATGTGATCCTGGATATCCCGCTCCTTTTTGAAACCAACACACTGATCAAGTTCATGAAGCACACTGTTCTCGTGTACTGGTAAGGATATTACAGGGAACGATGTAGTTATGTCACAATACGAAAGCGCCAGCCGGTCTGACGGATTAAAGGACAGAGGATGCCCATTGGAATGCATTGGCTCCTGAACTGAGTCAGGAATCCTAGAATTTAGACTAGAGTCATCTTGTCTAACCCCCTGCAGTGCAGGAATCTCAACTAGATCATACATGACAGATGGCTGTCCAAGCTCTGCTTACATGGGATTTCCACATGACCATTCAGATGAACCAAATCCATTATAACTGGTATATACAGTCGTACTTTGGAAGTCAAACTGAATCCATTCTGGAAGTCCGTTCGACTTCCAAAACGTTCAGAAACCAAAGCGCGGCTTCTCATTGGCTGCAGGAAGCTCCTGCAGCCAATCGGATGCCCCATCGGACGTTCGGCTTCCAAAAACAGTTCGCAAACCAGAACAGTCACTGTGTCCGGGAGCTAAAATGTTTGAGAACTAAGCTGTTTGAAAACCAAGGTACGACTACTGTACAGTGTTAGAAACTCAGCTATATAAGCTAGGTGTCAAATGGCTCCTTAAATCCAGGGTTACAGTCGCTAAAATGAAATGCCTCCTTGCCATTTTGGGGGCAGACCCAAAATCTTTGTGCAGATAAAACATAACAGAATTCTACAAGTGTGTGAAAACAGGCAAGATCCAAGGTTCTCCAGGCATACACCTCCATATGGCGGGAGACATCAGGAACCATCCTGGTGCCCAGGCATCCTTACCTGGTCAAATGCGCCTGGCAAATTCTGAACACTGCTTGTGCAGCATTTTTAAGGGCAGTACCGAAAGGGCCACACAGAATATTGTTGCGCTTCCGAATGGACTGACCCTTGGAATGGGTTGGAGCTCCTGCAAACCTGTGAACAGAGTTGTATAAAAGTTTATTTCGTAGGGGCCACATTCCTGTCTGGATAATCTTTCAGAGGCCGCAAGCCTCTGATGGGTGAGGATAGAGCAAAAGTGACCAGAGCAACCAATGTAACTCTTACCTTTGTGTAACAGGCTAATGTCTGCACGCACACACACACACACACACACACGCACACATACACGTCAAGCAATGGGCGTTATCAGAGTTTAAGGACCTGGTCCTGCCATGCAGAAACAATCACGGACCATGCAAAGCAGAACAAGTGATGGGGATGGCCTGGGAAGAGGGGTGTGTGGCTGGGAAGAGACCCAAATTCCAGAGGGAGAGGCCCCTGAGGGCTGCTTTTTGTCCCCAAGCCTGAGGTGTCCCATCCTCGAGTTAGATGGAGAAGGTAAACGTATCTCTTCAGGGAATTAATTAGCTGTTCCTGTTAAACCACAGAGGGTCAGAAGGTCGGCGGTTCGAATCCCTGCGACGGGGTGAGCTCCCGTTGTTCGGTCCCTGCTCCTGTCAACCTAGCAGTTCGAAAGCACGTCATAGTGCAAGTAGATAAATAGGTACCGCTCCAGCAGGAAGGTAAACGGCGTTTCCATGCGCTGCTCTGGTTCGCCAGAAGCGGCTTAGTCATGCTGGCCACATGACCCGGAAGCTGTACGCCGGCTCCCTCGGCCAATAAAATGAGATGAGCGCCGCAACCCCAGAGTCGGCCATGACTGGACCTAATGGTCAGGGGTCCCTTTACCTTTACCTATCCTTCGACAGGTGTGTGTGTGTGTGTGTGTGTGTTTGCTTTTTCCTCAGCAGATTTGCTGGTTGAGGTCCTTGTCCTTCACCCCTCAGATCTCAGCCTTGACAACTGAGCCCACTCTTCTTGGCATGACCCTTCCCACTGATCTCTTCGTAGGCCACGTTCACACCCTAAAGCACTATGACACCGCTTGAAACAGTCGTGGCTTGCCCCAAAGAATTGTGGGGGCTGTAGTTTATTAAAGGGTGCAGAGTTGTTAGGGGAGGCCCCTGTTCCCCTCACAGAGCTGCAGTGCTGTTTTAATGGTCAACCCCTCTTCACAGGGAACTCTTGTGAATTGTAGCTCTATGAGGCATCCAGTTTTTTTTAAAAAAATATTTATTTATTAAAATGATATACTACCATTCATCAAAAGATCTCAGGGCAGTTCAGAGAATAAACTACAAGATAAAACACAAGTAAATAATTAAACCAAAGCAGCAAAACAATAACAGACACATTTAAAAGTCTGTAGAATATTAATCGGCCAAAGGCCTGGTTGAAGAGGAACGTTTTCTTCTGGCACGTAAAGCTATAGGGAGCCACTGCAGAAAAGGCCCATTCTCATGTTGCCCACCCTCTGGACCTCTCAGCAAAGTACAGCTCCCAGATGTTTTTGTGTTTTTTTTGGGGGGGGGAGCCGTGACTGTTTAAAATGGTATCATAAGACTTTAAACATTATATATACATATATATGTGTGTGTGTGTGTGTGTGTATGTGTGTGTGTATATATATATATATATATATATATATATTTGTGGTAAAGGACCCCTGGACTGTTAACAATTGCTAGCTGGACCAGTCTGTTTCCAGCATATCGTTTTTCCTGCTAGATGACCGTTGGAAACCAAGAGGAGGGCATAAAGATATCAAGGTATATATAGATATAGATATAGGTAGATATAGATATACAGTGGTGCCTTGCAAGACGAAATTAATTCGTTCCGCGAGTTTTTTCGTCTTGCGATTTTTTCGTCTTGCGAAGCACGGTGTCGGAAAAGTTTTGGAAAAGCTTCAGAAATCACCCAAGTCTTCAAAAACCTCAAAAAAGGCTACCACACCGCGTGCTATGAGTTGCTCCTCGAAGTCAAGTCGCAACTGTATTAACGGTTTTAAGAAAAAGGAAACAAACTTGCAAGATGTTTCCGTCTTGCGAAGCAAGCCCATAGGGAAAATCGTCTTGCGAAGCAACTCAAAAAACCAAAAACCCTTTCGTCTTGCAAGTTTTCCGTCTTGCGAGGCATTCGTCCTGCGAGGTACCACTGTAGGTATATAAAAAGGTAAAGGACCCCTGGATGGTTAAGTCCAGTCCAAGGGGACTATGGGGCTGCGGCGCTCATCTTGCTTTTAGGCTGAGGGAGCTGGCGTTTGTCTGCAGACCACTTTCTGGGTCATGTGGCCAGCAGGATTAAACCGCTTCTGGCGCAACGGAACACCGTGACAGAAACCAGAACGCATGAAAATGCCATTTAGCTTCCCGCCGCAGTGGTACCTATTTATCTACTTGCACTGGCGTGCTTTCGAACTGCTAGGTTAGCAGGAGCTGGGACAGAGCGATGGGAGCTCACTCTGTCGCAGGGATTCGAACCGCCGACCTTCCGATCAGCAAGCCCAAGAGGCTCACTGGTTTAGACCACCCGCATCCCATACATATGGTGTGTATGTGGCCATAGTCTCTCCCTGCTTTTCCATGTCTTAGCCGTGCTGGAGTGTGTAAGAGCAGCTGGAATTGACTAGATAGATGGGAGGGGGTGTACACACACACACACACACACAGCCCTTTCTGACTTTCTCCCTGAGCTCAGTTCCTCTTCCCTTCCTTTGCCAAGCGACCCACAGAGCCAGTTGTCCCGCCTGATGCGCCGGAACGGGCTGACCCAGGCGGAGGCCGAAGCGCGCATTGCCGCCCAGCTGCCCCTGGACCAAAAGGTCAAGCTGGCTGGCCACGTCATCGACAACTCGGGAGACGTCGAGACCACGAGGAAGCAGGTCTTGAAGCTGCACTCCTCGTTGGAGGACTCCATGGACTTTCTCCTGGTGCGGATCCTGGCCATCACAGCAGCTGCTGGGGTTAGCGGCTTGCTGTATTTCCTACTGCGGCAGCTCATGTCTTAACTTGCCCTTGGTGGTGGTGACGGGGCAGGTAAGGGGGACTGAACCCTTCCGTGTTGGGAAGGGTGATAGAAACCCAGGACCTTTCCCTACTTTTTGCAGCCTGAACGACTCAAAAGACCTCAAAAGCCAGGCAGCAAGCCTGTTGTCTTTCCGAACGCCTCTGGAAGTGAAAAGAGGCGTCATTCATTCCAAAGCGTCTCTCAGCTATCTTTGTCCGTGGCTTCCTTGCAAAAGATTTTAGTCGCACCTGAGGATGGAAAGGGGTTGTGGGTGTTGTTAACTAAAGCTGGTAGGAATTTTGTTCTGCTGGGCCGAGGGGCTGTGGGTGGGGGCGAAACTTACTGGCTGCTACTGAAGTGTAAAAACGAATCCTATTAAATTTGACATGAGGATAAGCCCACAACCAAGTTCCTTTTTTTAAAAAAAGGGTACTGGGCACTTCTTGCCCCTCCTCTCCCTCCCTCCGATATGCCATTGACTGCATCTTTGAAAGCTTCCTTTTCAATGGGTCTCCAGGAATGTGGTCAATATTGAATATTGCTTGCGGGGCACTCAGCCAAAATGCTCTCTGTGGGGAACCGACAAGGAAAAGTCGCTTCTCGGAGGTGTGAAAATACCCTGAGAAGTTGGAGAGGCTGTTCCTTTTTCCCCCCCTTCCCCTCTGGAGGCTGTTTGGTTACTGCAATTCATTTAACATCAATTTATCTGTATGACTCATACAGCTCAAGCGTTATGTACTACAGTCTCACAATATAGTATTTGTAATTATGAACTGGAGCTTGTAGGTTTTTTTTCACTCCTCAGTGCCTGGCTTATATTCAAACAGATCATGATGATGATTGTTATTTATGAATCGTGTCATGTTGAAGCATCTGGAAGCAATCTGCAATGCAATTAAAACCTATATAAAACATATACCATATTTTTTGCTCTATAAGACTCACTTTTTCCCTCCCCAAAAGTAAGGGGAGCCAGACTGTCCTGCTTGGTAGGAGGGTGAACAGAAGATGCACTTTTGTTCGCCAGTGGACCGCTGGCCAGAGGCAATACAGTGGTACCTCGGGCTACAGACACTTCAGGTTACATACACGTCAGGTTACAGACTCTGCTAAAACAGAAATAGTACCTCGGTTTAAGAACTTTGCTTCAGGATGAGAACAGAAATCGGGCTCCGGCGGAGAATATTATTTTTTCTTGTTTTCCTCCTCCAAAAACTAGGTGCGTCTTATGGTCTGGTGCGTCTTATAGAGCGAAAAATACGGTGTGTGTGTGTGTGTGTGTGTGTGTATACACACACACACACACGTGCACACACACATAGGTAAAGGGACCCCTGACCGTTAGGTCCAGTCGTGGCCGACTCTAGGGTTGCGGCACTCATCTAGCTTTATTGGCCAAGGGAGCCGGCGTACAGCTTCCGGGTCATGTGGCCAGCATGACTAAGCCGCTTCTGGCGAACCAGAGCAGCTCACGGAAACGCCGTTTACCTTCCCGCCGGAGCGGTACCTATTTATCTACTTGCACTTTGAGGTGCTTTCAAACTGCTAGGTTGGCAGGAGCTGGGACCGAGCAACGGGAGCTCACCCCGTCGCAGGGATTTGAACCACCAAGCCCAAGAGGCTCAGTGGTTTAACCCACAGCGCCATCCGCGTCCCTATGTATATACATACAAAGCAGTTAAAACAATTGCATATATAAAAAGACACACATATAGATAGATACACATACAAATGGAAGGGAACTCTAATGGTCTGCTTATGGCATCATATGGAACGGCCCTCCTGATAGGATGCCCTCTCCTGCAGAAATGCAGTGATTGGTCAGGTGAGATGACTAACACATTCCAAATACGTGGTTTTCAAACTTCTACATTTAGGGAGCCTTTATACTATGTACTGAGTCCAAGGAGCCTTGCTGCGGTCCCTGCACATAACATATTAGCGCCGATATGCATTGCATGGGGAAATCGGCAAGGATGGAAAAATCTACGGCATCTCTGCACTTTGGAATACTGTTTAAAGTTCTGGTTTTCCCTTCTCAAAAAGCATTGAGGCAGAGGTTCGGAAAAGGGCAGCCGAAATTACCATTCCGTGAAGAAAGTTCCCAAGATTTGGGTCTTTTCCGTTCAGAAAAAAATGGTGTAACAATACCGTGCAGGGTGGAGAGGGAGAGGTTTTTCCTCTCGTAATGTGGAAACCCAGAGCTATCCAGTGGAGGAGGCGCGGGAGAAAATGCTTCCTTTACACCTTGCATAGTTACCGTATTTTTCGCTCTATAGGACACACCAGATGATAAGACGCCCCTAGTTTGTTTTTTTGGGGGGGGGGTAGAAACAAGAAAAAAAAATTCTGAATCCCAGAAGCCAGAGCAGCAAGAGGGATCTGGCTTCTGGGATAGCCTCTTGCTGTTCTGGCTTCTGGGGTAGCTACTGAAGCCTCTCCTGGGCAGCGGGATGAAGGCTTTCCCTGCCTGGAAGAGGCTGCGCACGGGTAAGCTGCCCTCTGTACCTTCCCCCATCTCCCGCAAGAACTGTGCACTCTTTAAAGGGAGCACGGTTCTTGGGGGATTTTCTGGGAGATAGGGAAAGGGACAGAGCCCCCCACTTCCCACAAGAGCCGCGCAAAGCCTCCCAGGGCAGCGGAGAGCCTTCGTCCTGCTGCCCTATGGAGGCTTCGCGGGGGCTATCCAAAAGCCAGAATAGCTAGAGGGAGCGCTGAGCAGCGCTCCCTCTAGCTGTTCTAGCTTCGTGCGAAGCCTCCGCAGGGCACGGGGAGCCTTCATCCCCGTGTCCTGCGGAGGCTTCTGGGACAGCCCGCAAAGCCTCTGCAGGGCAGCAGGGTGCCTTCATCCTGCTGCCCTCCTGAGGCTTCACGGGCTGCCCCAGAAGCCAGAACAGCGAGATGGAGCGCTGCGCAGCGCTCCGTCTCACTGTTCTAGCTTCGGGCTTAGCTGCGCAAAGCCTCCGCAGGGCAGCGGGTGTGCAGCAAAACCCGAAGCTAGAACAGAGAGGCGGAGTGCTGTGAAGCAAGACGGAGCGCTGTGCAGCGCTCCCTCTCCCTGTTCTGGCTTCTGGCTTAGCCGCGCAGCCTGCATTCGCTCCATAAGACACACACACATTTTCCCTTACTTTTTAGGAGGGAAAAAGTGCGTCTTATGCAGCAAAAAACATGGTAAACTGTGGAACTTGCTGCCACAAGATGCAGGCCCTGACGCCAACCTAGATGGCTTTAGAAGCGCTGCAGACAAATTCATGGAGGATAAGGCTATTGATGGCCTGTAGGAGCTCCGGTGACTAGGTGGTACGTCCTTTTACAGAGGTGTGCCTTTGAATCCCAGGCATTGGGGAACACAGTAGGGCAGGGGTTGGCAAGGTTTATCTTGCCTGGGCCGGTTCACTCCAGCGGAGATCCCTCCATGGGCCGGATTGCGCGTGCCCGCCCGCAGTTTTCTGCACATGCGCGGTATTCGGCGCCGTGGAAGCGAGTCCCCACACCGTGCTGTGCCAGTTTAGCGCGGCTTGTGAGGAGTCGCTGAGTGGGCGGCTCGGTTCAGGGGTGGCTTCTGGGTCGGTTAAACCAGGGGTAGGCAAACTAAGGCCCAGGGGGCCGGATGAGGCCCATTCCCCTTCTCAATCTGGCCCGCGGACAGTCCGGGAATCAGCGTGTTTTTTCATGAGTAGAATGTGTCCTTTTATTAAAAATACATCTCTGGGTTATGTGTGGGGCACAGGAATTTGTTCATATATTTTTTCAAAATACAGTTCGGCCCCCCACATGGTGTGAGGGACGGTGGACCAGCCCTCGGCTGAAAAGGTCACTGAAACGACCCCCGTGGGCTGCTTGTGGCCCATGGGCCTTAGGTTCCCTACCCCTGCAGTAGGGAGAATGCTTTTGCACTTGTATGCTGCTTGTGGTCTTCGTCCCTGGTTGGCCAGGGCAGATATAAGAATCACAGAATTATAGAGTTGGAAGGGACCATGAGGGTCTTTATTCCTGCCATGCAGGAATATTTCATCTGACATGGGGCTGTAACCCATGACCCTTAGATTAAGAGTCTCATGCTCTATGGACTGAGCTATGGGGTGGTAGACTAGAGCCAGCAGGGCCCTTCTTACCCTCTTAAGCAGGCTTCCTCAACCTCGGCCCTCCAGATGTTTTTGGCCTACAACTCCCATGATCCCTAGCAAGCAGGACCAGGGGTCAGGGATGATGGGAATTGTAGTCTCAAAACATCTGGAGGGCCAGGGTTGAGGAAGCCTGGCTTAAGCCATGGGTAGGCAAACTAAGGCCCGGGGGCCAGATCCGGCCCAATCGCCTTCTAAATCCGGCCCACGGAATCAGCGTGTTTTTACATGAGTAGAATGTGTCCTTTTATTTGAAATGCATCTCTGGGTTATTTGTGAGGCCTGCCTGGTGTTTTTACATGAGTAGAATGTGTGCCTCTTCACTCTTGAGATCGGAAGTTGTTCCTTTGTCAGGACAGGATAAAAGGAGACCATTGCTCCTGAAGGTTGTCGGCCATTTTGTCTTCTTCAACCAGCTCCGATTACAAGTCACAGTTCCACCAGGACTTTCTCTTGTGAAACAAATGCCAGCTTTGTGGGAGCGCTTTGAGGAAGTTGACAGAATCGGAATTGCTCCGAGGCTGGCTGGGTTTCACATCCTTTCGATATCAATGCCTCCACTTCCGCAAGCAAAAAGCAGAAGGCAGAAGTCATCCGTAAATGGCCGGAGGCTTGCGGCCAATATTTTGTTTGGTAAATTCCAACACACAAAAGAAGAAAATCTCTACCCAGCTTCAAATACACCTCTCTCATTCACCTCTCAATGTCCCTCCTTGCTTCTTGCCTGTGTCCTTTAAAAAGAAACAAATCATTGATTCTTATTCAAAGGTATACAGAAACACACACCCATTACAAAGTATCTGTGTATAATATATACAGCCACTTAATCTAAAGAGGAAGAAAATACAAGAAAAGGAGAAATCTGAAGAAGGAGAAAGCAAGAGAGAAGGAAAAGAATGAAAAAGCCAAAGAAAGATAAGAGCAAAATAAAAGGACTTCCGGCTCTCTGTAGAATGAATATTATATTCATTCCTTAAGATCCAACCATTCTATCTTCTATGAACCAGTACATTTTCCATCTTTAGATCCAGATATTACAAGATCATTTTCTCTTTCACGCGAAAAGCATAAGAAATTTCTAGCTCATCAGCAATGGTAGTAATGATTTTTCTCTTTATCAGACATATTAGCTCAGCCATCTCTGCCAAGTCCAACAATTTTGCCTGAGTTTATCCTGATTCATATGCCTTGGTGATGGCTCTCTCATAGTTTGTTATGTGTGTGATGGAAGGGCACCTGCCCATCAGCCAATGTGTGAGCTGACAGCTTCAAATGGTTGGGAGATTTGATTTGCATGATTTCCCTCTCCCGTCACAGGAGAGGCACTGCTTAAGTGGAGCTTTCATGTAAGCAGGTATCACAGGCAGAATGCCTGGCTCAGATGTTCTTGGAAGGGGAAAAGAATATCGCCTCCAGCCCAGTGAACCAGGACTTCCTTTGCCCTATGCAATCTCCAGTCCCTTTTCCTCCTCCTTTAGGCAAGTGCTGTGGGTGTCGTTTTTTTAAAGAAGAAAAATTAAAACCATTGATTTTCAACAAGACATGCAAAAAGATTACACCAATAAGCACAGTGCCATGTAGAATATCAGACAAAGTCTCTCCCCAAGAAGGGGATAAAACAAACATCCAAATGCAAAGTTGATCGATCC